CTGAACAAATACAAGTATTAACAAGGTTATAGCCATTTTGCAGATTGTTACATTCAGTTGGAATGTGTACAGTGAAACCTATGTATTTCAAACACATGTTGTAATATAAAATGCAGTAAAACTTGTATAATCTTAAAACCTCTCTTAGCCAAACACCTCTCAATGTGAACATGTTTCCTCTGTCCGAACGTCACATTAACTCACATATTAAGAAACCTTGAAATGTGAACACCTGTTAGTGCTAATAGGAACACTTTTGGATAGTCCTGGTAGTGTTCGAATTAAACAGATTTTACTGAACGTTTATTACAATGGCCATTCTCGATATCATGTTATATAGAGTCAATATAGTAGATGTAAAATGAATAAAAATGTAATAACTAGATCGCTATTAACTTAAAGTAAGTGGGTGCTGCACTAAGTGCAGAGTTTACTTCAGGGAAATGTATAGAGATCACACATTAATTTTGTTTCATGGAAATTAGGTGAATATTGATTATTGATATTTAGTATAGTGGACATCTGTATTCAGAAGAAAAATGAAGGGCCTCTCCAGCAAATTCATTTCATCAATCTTGAATTATTAGTATGTCTGATTTATGTATACATTTCAAAATATGAGAACTGTTTCCTTTCTTCTAATGCAGTTATTTCGAATTTAGAAAAATTAAAGAGCAGCTCGTGTTTTGTCATTCCTCGTCAATTCTGTCAAAACATTACTAAATATCCAGTATAGAGCCTTTCTATTCGCCTGAACCAAAGATATCGGTATAGGTCTACTCTGTATGCAATATGCATGTATACAACCCCTATCCTAACCCTTAATAATAGGGGAGGGGTGCTTGAGTTTTTGAAATGTCATATATGCACCTTCAAATGGCAATTTTGTATCCAAGTTACCTCAAGTGGTATTATCCTTGTCTGCCTGTCTGGTGGGACAGATCTCAACATTAACTTTCCTAGGTTTGACAGTCGGCAGAGAAATCTGGTTTCTATCTTGCTGGAACTCTAAGGCAGAAGTAAAACGGGACCAAAGTCGCAAAAACGTAATCACGGAGAAGTAAGGTCAAACTTTGGTTAGTGGTTAGGTCATTACTGCAGGAGATTTGTTATTTTGTGAATGTAAATGTTTATTAAGGTATTATGTCTGGACAAGAATAATTCTTGGGTTTTAGAACTTCAGAAAGGGGATATCATGTCACGGTGACTGTTTTCTTACTATATGTGATAGCCCAGTTTTTTGGCAGAAGCTTAATTCTCAGCATATCTTTCAAATAAACAATATTTAGCTACTATGTTGTGCATAACTGTTTTGGTAAAAAAGTAGCTCAATTACTGATCCCTGATGTACATGAGCATTCTAAGTATTGTATATAACAATTCTCCCCCCCCCCCCCCGCCCTCACTGAAAACAGATTGACGAATAGAAAAAATTGTGAATGTGACTCTCTTGAGATGATCTGACTGAATTTAGAGTCTACAGGTTGGGTCCAACCTGCTCTAAAGCTAAAGATGCTATGAACATTTCTTTAAAGCATAATAGTACAATTCTCCTACTTGTTTAAATGTTCTGGTTTCAGCAATTAAATTCTCAAATACTGTTTCAATAATGTTTGACAACTAACAATTGGCAAATAACCTTCATTCTGATAATCATTTGAGGTTTGCTTTATCGGTTGCATATGATCATGCATATGTATTAATTTAAACTACAGTACTATTTTATCGATTCAGTGAATGCACTCTATTATACATGGCAAATATCGCTGCAGCTCACATCTTTTATAGAAACAAAAACCTTTAATTGGTGAATGTGACGTATATGTAGAGAATACATAGTATGGCATTACTTTGTGTATTCAGGTCGTCAGTTAATTAAAACATCTCCTTTGTCAGGCCTCCTTTTATCATTGAATTAATTAGCAACCTAAGAGCAGGCATTTACCCTGAATTTTCCATCAGCTATTCATGCTACCCTCTGACTACTGGATATGATTTTAAAATTTTGTCATAGTTTTGGTGCTCATAAGATTTAAATGATCCTCATGATCTCAAATGGACCTTCCACATTTTTATTGAAAGTAAACATGAAATTGATACGCACTACTTAGTACGCAAAAATGTTAGGTATGATGGTTTTATGACTTGGAGTATTCTGAATGGATATAGACTGGATCAAAGAATTTAAAGAGGGTAGATAAAGTTAACAAAGTCTTGCAAAGGATAGCATATTTCAGAAGTGAAATAGGTTTTGTTGATCAACGTGTTTTGTTTAAGTACAGTAAACCTGTCTAATCTGAACACCTTGGACTGGCCTAAAGTGTTAAGATAAACAGGTGCTCATTTTCAAGTTTTTTAAATGTGTGAGTTATTAGGAGACACATTTGGGACTGAGAAAAAGTGTTCACTTCAAGAGGTGTTTGGATTAGAGAGGTGTTCAGATATGCATGTTTCACTGTAGTAGTAAAACAATGAATGTGTTACATAGTGCAGTAAAAAAGGATCAGCTTCATATATGATGCTGAGTTGGATTAAGTAAATCAGCTGAAGTGGGATATTGTTTAACTCAAGTGTATTAGACTAGTTGATCCATTTCATGTTTTCATGGAAGGATGATATATATATCACTTTCAAGACCACTTAAAAACAGAGTACCAGCTTTAAGCTTATTTCTCATAATTGATCTGGTTTAGAGCTCTCAGTCTCAAGGTTATCGTTTTCCTATTATTAGATATTTGTGTTGTGTTTTTATCTCATTGACATTTGGATAAATCTCTGGATACGTACTTCTATTTCAATTAGTGTTATCCAATTTTATTTCATTTTTGTACATTTGATCTGTGAGTTAATGCGCTGGATTGATCTGGAAGTGAAGTTTTATTGATTATATGCTCGTTTAAGGTTTTAATTACTTGTTTTCAACATTCACCAACATCTATTGGAAGACATGGATGTTTTGTGATAACAAAAATAACAATGGAAATCCCGAACATGTTAGCTTCTTCATAAGGGGGTCAGTTCAAAGAATCAATGTTTTTTTCAAGAAAACTAATTTAGCGAAGATTCAAGCCACTGGTGGTTAGGGGGCAACCCAGGTCCCCCCCCCTAAGATGGGCCCAGGAATTCTTAGGGCCTAAAGAAAACTAGCCTATAAAGAACAAAGCCATTACTCGCAGTTTGTTTGAATTAATTAATGACCTGGGCTGTGATGGCCACCAGAAGGGGATGGGGTCTAAGAACTGTAAGAACCTCTAATTGATAGAGGTTACTAATTAGAACTAACCTGTACACTCCAGGTATGTCCCATTAACTCAAGTTACTACACATCTCGTATCTGCTACCTTTTTCACAAAAGAGTTTTACCTGGCCCCCTAGTAAATACATTGATTGTTACATTAGATTAATCAATTTTATTATGAAAATGTTATTCATTGTTGTTTTTCAATGTGTTATTTTTGGAATATTAATTTTATGGAAAATTGCATGAGGCCATAAGAAGTAAGAAGTGTTTTGCATCCTGGCAAAATCCAAATCATGCAAGGGTACAAAAAAAACAAACATAAACTCAAGAAAAAACACAAACAAAAATATATTTTGATTTTATGGGCATGAAAAGGGATGAAATACCAATTTGCAGTGATTACAATCATCAAATGCAATATATTTAAATATGGCTATGAAACGTTATATTTCAAAGGTAATCAAAATAAGAAAAAACACAATGTATGCCGAAGTAATCAATAACACTGTCAATGTTGACGCACATCAAATTGTCCGCCATTTCTGACTTAGTTGAAACGAAATGCGGTGGTACTTTCAGACCAGTGGGATTGCTATTTGGATGTGTTTGTTTTTCTGATTTCCTCAAAATCGTGCAAGGGGACGCAAAATGAAGAATCTACTTCTTATGGCCTTAGCTTTAAAGCTGCAGGGTCTTCCCTTATAAATACAGGAATAATGTCAGAGTGTAAGCAATAGCGGTAGTGTGTAATAGGTTGATCCATTGATCTTGAAACAAATGCATCCAAAGTGATGTAAAGAACACCTTCATCTATCCTTCTCTCCTTCAATCATGAAAAACCTTGATGGATCAAGATGAAAAATTTTCCAAGATAAATAAATTACTGTTAGTTTATGCGTCTAAGATTCAAAGCGCTCACTCTTTACTTCATCAAAGCCAATATTTAGAGTCATTGTTTAAATGTCAATTACGTTCCACTTTTAATCTGACAAAAGAAAATTTCTAGCACTTCCTAATATGCTGTTAGTACTAAATATGAATACAGACCCATCAGGATTATTACAGTGTTACACTTTCCCCAATTAATGTCATATAAATGCAATGAGTATATAAAATGAAACATTTCAATTGAGTGGTTTATTGCAAATGTTTTCAAAATGTTGTTACCTCATACAAATTGATTCTTTATTACAGACCCTCATCATGATAAACCATGTCATCTCAAATCTTCTCAGCCCTGAGATGCCATGATATAATGAGCTTGATTTGGCGATCCAGGAGAGCCCAAAATTGAGGATTTTTGAGATCTTTCATCCCAGCTCATATTTCATCTAATTGGGGTCATAAAACTTGTGTAACTGTGCCTGTTGTTATATCTGCTGTTAAATACAATGCCTATTATGTAATGTATTGACATTAAGGTAGATGATTACATGATAACCATCACACTTATTGACAGTTATAACTCTTCCCATCTGATGTGCTCAGATCACAGAATATGCCTCATAATATCAGAGCATGTTTCAAGTGAAACAGAAAGATGCTATGAGTATCAGAATGACAGACCCTAGTGTCTAACTGTTCCTTTTTAATTGCAGATGTATGATAAAAATTGAATTTCATTGGTTCTTTCCAATGACAAATGTGACTTAACTAAAGACTCGTGGTTTGTTCATATCTGTTTGCTGATATAAGCTCATACATATTTCATAAAATGCACTGTAACATCATTTGATTTTGATTGTTAAATATTTTCCAGATGTTGCTGAAATTCCTGAAAATATCAAGTTTTGTAAAAGTCTCCAGTCTGCAGATTTCAGCAGCAACCCAATAGCAAGGTAAGTTTGATTTGCATATGAGTTCTCCTCAACCAAATCAACATTAATATGTTCCAGTTCCTTATATTCTTACCTGAATCAATGCTGCCATTGTCAGAAGTATATATTTAGAACATATATATTTTGGTCAGATTTTTAATAATCAATGGAACCTTTTTTATGAGTTAATGATATAGAATGATGTTTCTAGAATTTGCAACACATAAAATAATTAGCCAATTCTGAGCATGTGCTAAGGAGTTACAAAGAATCTATATATCAAGCTATGTTTTAATTTGAATGTTCACAAGTCACAAAATCGATGATTTATGACTTGCCCTGGCTCTTGTATTTCGATTCCTGGAAATTTAATTCACTATTTTTTCACAATCGTTGGCTATTTTTCCATCTGTAAGTTTGATTTGTGGCCTCTATTTGCTTACCACGCAGTGTCATCACTCCCATATTACATCAAATTTGTTATATCATTTGTGGGCAATGGTTGAGTTTATTGAGAAACTTAGGCTTTTTTCTTTTAAATGTCATCCTTTAGAGCAAGTCAATGTGCCCTTAATTTAAAATTAATCCGATGACATTGGGCACTTTATTTGCCAGCAAACATCCAGGGTGTTAGAATTTCATGCATAGAATCTATCTATCATACTTATCTAAAAGTGGTTAGAATCAAAATATATGAAACAAAGACTTGGAGAATAAATTGTAAAAATTGTGTTTTTCATTTTATCATTTGGGTCTTTTTAGCCAATTTTAGCCTTGATAAATATCGATAGTTATGCTTAAAGTTATGTCACTTTCATGGAGTTGTGACATTTTGTTTAAATACTGTGCTTTTCCAGGTAGTGATATTTTGTCATGTTAATCTGTTAATATCTCCTGTTGTTATTTGAAGGTTACCTGATGGCATCACCCAACTACGAAGTCTTACCCACCTAGTGTTGAATGATGTCTCCTTGGCCAGACTTCCCCCTGATATAGGAAGGTAAGCCTACACATTGGAAGGATAAGATCCGTCAATCATTGTCAATGAACATTCTCCTATTGCAGGCCTTCCAATAAAAGTAAAAGGCTTTGGGATAACGACTGCAGAAAACACTTCTTACAAGCTGAAATTAAATCAACCAATTAAATCAGTCTAAGAGTTCATTTTACCACAAATATCATGGGAAGATAAAGCTTGCAAGGGTATGGTTACATAAGTAGAAAAAGCCTAATGAGTAAGATCGTGAAGAGCAAAGGGAATTCCATCCCAAATAATCACAAATAATAAGTGTGGACTTTGGTAACATGATTTTTGTAAAAAAATAGAAAACAGTGAGGAAAGGGAATATTGTGAAAACTTTACATAGTCATTACTCTTCAATATGAAATAAGTGCCGTCAAGAATATAAGAGCATTGAAGTATAGGTCACATAGAGGAGAATAAGAAGGTATTTTCCGAGGCAATACTTTATTCCTCCATACTTGGAGAATGTACTTGTCAGGAACATGTTTTGTCTTAGAGTCCCTCTCAAGAATAAGATAAAGAAGGACTTGATAAACCAGAATGTTTAGTAATGTTTTCTATGCTCTCTGATTATGTACATCCTTGGCATGGTTAAATACCAGAGGTTTTAGATACAGGGTTTATCCAAGGGGAAATTTGCTTATGCTTTATATCCCAGGAGATTGAGGGAGATACACATTTCCCAGGGGATTTCCCTGTATCTTAAAGCTGAAGGTTATATGTGTATAATAGTATAATAGTGTATAATAATATATTCTAGGCTATATGAGAACAATTGTTAGATTACATGCTGGATAACTGTTGCAGAAGAATACAAGAGGTCTTTCAATCAGAAATCCATTATCTGAGATCTACATGGGATCAGCACTGAAGCTTGATGTTACCTCATTGTTTATCAATTATAGGGGAAGATGTGAAAGTCTACCTGGATGTAGTCCACTAATAAGACACATTAGTAGTCCTTATATTATATAGGCTGCTTCATTCATTATGTTAAAAGATACTCTTTTCAGTCGTTAGAATTCACTTCAAAGAGAACTTCATGTGTATTCAGAGTCTAGATAATAAGAGGGTTATGCATCATTGATTCCCATGTTCAATCTCAACAATCTGAGGACAGGTTCGAAGCTTAATGAAGAAAGATGAGAGTTATGAGGAAAACGTCATCTTTTGGCTTTTGTGAAAACAATGCTATGTACTGTACAGGAGTTCAAGAAATTCAGAAAAATTATTGATATTTTGAACTCACGAGAAAAATATTGTGAAGAACTTTGTTAATGTAGTCATCTGAAACAGGGGAAGCTCTCAGCATGTATGCTCATTAATCACAAGGGTTCTTAAAAGCAATATTCCCTTATTATTAGATGTCTCGTGTAAAACACAGTGAGCATACTATGAAAAATTGCATCTTCAGAACTTGAACTGAATGTTACAAACACACAGTTTAGATGCATCCTGAAAAATGATCCTATCTAAAGAAATCTCATTTATATTATGAAGTCATTGCTCCTTTGGGCAAACCTGACTTGCAAGGCCACATTGATGCACCTTTACAATACCCCAAAGCCTCATATATACTGGCTATGTCAGATCCAATTTTAAAGAAAGTAGAAGATTATTTATCTTACATGGTGATCAAAGTAATTGTACAGTTCTGGGGAATGCCATATTATGCTAAACCAATCTATCTCTAATAGGGCAGATACTCCAATAAACGCACACCCAACTTTTTCATGAAAGACTCTATCAACTTGAGTAACAAAAAACAAGAAAAAAATTCGAAAAATACCATTGGGCAATAATAGGATGAATTCAATTAATTCACTTACCGCTATCGATTGAGTCTTTCTTTCTGTGCACAATGCTGTTACAGACGTGTCTCCAGAATCTTTAGAGCTATAAGTATGTTCATGATAACCTCCTAGTGAGTTAAAAGCCATAATGAACGTTAAATCTGACCAAAGATAAGAGAGGGAATGTATTATCATCAAAATGTGACACACATATGTCGATTAAACCACGAAAACACATTCAGCAGATCGATAAATCCATGAGGAAAACATTGAGGTATGATACCCTACTATTGAAGTACTCTATTATCGCCCATATATTCATTTTTAAAAGATCCCCGGGGATTTCATCTTTTAAGACATCTCTTCCAGGAGAATTTGGGAGATCCACTGTGCGTTTATTAGAGAGAATACGGTACTTTAAATAGGTTAGAAATGGCATACATGATCAACCTGCCTGATAATATGAGAACTTCTAGGGCTCCACTTTCTAGATGTAATTAATGATGTTCTTTCATGTTATCCTCTTATTTATACAAGACATTATAACAATAGTCTGTTTGAAGCCTATTGTTTTATATTCACCTCACAGTTGCAATCATAAGGTAACAAATGTCATAAAACAGGCTTTGTGTATTATTTGTGTTTATCAGTAGATTCTCTCATAATGTGGAGGTGGAGAATGAAAAATAATATCTGTCACATATTATTATTGATTGATTGGAGTAATTTCATTCTATGTTTTGTTATGCTTACACCACCTTTTTCTTTTAGAGATATTTGAATATGCTTTCTGTTAATTTATGAACAAACAACAAAATATGAAATATAATATACCATTTGTTTAACATGGGATCTGCCATTTTTGTTAAATTTCATGAAATTCATCAATTTTGACATCAAATTTTGACCCAATGTAATGGAGATATAACATTGAAATGTTGCGGACTTTTTAGGGAATAGAATCAAGATACAGATTTATTTTCTTTATTGGGATTTCTTTTGTTCCATGCTTAGAAAATAGTCGTTCAAACAAATATGGGGGTTAACATGTAAACCTATGAGGAAAACCACTGGTCCTTAACTTTTTTTGAGGAGTATATATTACAAGATATTATGATGTAATGAAAGAGGAATAATTTATGATTATTACAAAGCTCCAGAAAGACTCCTCCTGAAAGATCTGAATTATCAGATTGTCCCTCTTTATCTAATACATTAGAGGGGCACATCCTGTGTATTCTAAGAGATAATTGTATCTCCAATGCAAGATACAGCCCAGATGGCTGGGTTTAGTAGAAATATCTAAATATAATAAGAGATACATATCAGAGATCCCACAATGAACCGATTGATTGAAACCATATATCATTTAATGTTTCATTGTTAGCTTCGGTTATAGGGTTACCCTGTATGTTTTCAATAACGCCGTCCAAGGATTGAAAAAACTCAAAGAAAAAATGTTGGACCTTGAAATAAAAATGAACTGCGTTTTTTAGACGCATGCAAGTCATATGCACAAAATCAACTTTAGATGAAAGATTTGATAAAGATCTTACCTTCAGTCTCTTTATTTCGTCAGAATCAACTAAATAACGGAAGGAAATTCTATTTCTAAAAGAAGCTGAAGACCCGATTTAAACCATTTTCAATTGGTCAAGTGTGATCATTATTTAAGAATGCACATGCGCAAGAAAGTGAACCAAAAAATGGAACGTCACGCAGATTGCCCCTAAAGCAAGATATTTCTGAGTCATCAAAATCAATAGCAAATTGCTTCGAAATAAGCAAAGAAAATGTGTGTTTAATGGATGAATAAAAGTTATACCTCACAAGTGATGGTATTTGTATCATTTAATGACATACTAGTGTGTCCAGTGTAAAAACGTGACTTTGAATTCCCGAGAACATTCTTTCAAGGGATTTTTTGAAAATCAGTACGTCCCAGGGATGCAATCTTGGACAAACCTACTGAAAACACTGGCTTACCCATGCCTTAAATTAACACTACACAGGTGTATGATCTGAGTGATTGTATATGTTCAATTGTTAGTTAAATATCAAGATGTTCAGACAATGCACTATGGCATTCCTAATATGTACATGAGTGTTTGGGAGTTTGTAACAAAAAAACTATATTGTTTCTATCATGTTCTCTTCCTCTGTATGCATATTTCCTCAATTCCTATTCTTAATTTGTGAACTTGATCGCTACCAATTGTAATTTACTTACAAACCAAGTCCCAATGGTGTAATTGATATTCTATAGTCTTAGCGAATTCTTATCTTTCACATTAATGTTAAGAAAATGTCTGAAATGAAAGGATAACCTGATATTTAGGTAATTAATATGCAGGTGAATATATATTGACTTACATTATGTATCTTTTTCTTTGCTTTTATAATCCAGTCTTTTCCATACTTTTTCCAAAAACGCAGTTTATCACAAAAAATAATAATTTGAAAACATGACAAGCATATTATTTTATTTGTAAGAGGGACCCCAGTGGTATACTTATGTTCTGCATTTTACAATCTATTGTAGTAATACTACTTAGCAAATATATACACCTCAGGCTGTGGTGGAATAAAATCTGAATTTTTATGTCACCACCACAAGTGGTGACAAGTTGTTTCTAACTTTTTTGTGAATGATGTTCAGTGTTCAGCATTCAGCACTCAGCAGTTGGTCTTCGGCGGTCAGGGTCTGCATAACAAATGCCAGGTGGTGACATTTTACATGTTAATACATTGTTTAAAATATTGTAGAAAAGGTGTAAATGCCATACCTTGGCTCAATCCCATCGATACAATGATATTGCAAAATATTAGAAAAAAACGAGTGCATATGTATTAGTAGTATTGTAATGAAATGCCAACAGGATGTGTGATATTTATTGTTCCGATAATGAAATGAAACCTAAACACAATTATAAAAAACATTCCCCACTTCCTTGATAAAGGGTAAAATGTCAGCTTGTTTCCACTGAAATGTGAAGCTTTTTCTCTTGCATTTGTCACATTGATACATGATACTCAAGACTTATTTGTATGTATTTATAAATCATACAGTAAAACTTGTGAAGTGGAACACCTCTGGAAGTGGAACACCCATCAAAAATATATGAACATCTAACTTCTAAAAACACTCACACTCCAAAACAATATTTTAAGGTACCAAATCTGTAACACTTCTACATTACATGTTTTACAATAGTTTTGTATGAGATACCTTCTGTTTTAATTTATGTTTCTGATTGTTTCAGTCTGTCCAACCTGCAAGTGCTAGAACTGAGAGAGAATGTGTTAAAGTTCCTGCCATCTTCCCTGTCATTCTTGCTGAAGCTAGAGAGCCTTGACCTTGGAGGAAATGAACTCGAGGAACTGGTCAGTGATATGTTAAAGGCTTATCTGTTATTTCACCAATTTGAAATTATCTAATTAAATTTTCATCTGAAAATGCACGTTCTACTGGAGCATTTGATTGGGTAAATCACTTAAATATGAGCAGGAGTGCTGCAAGATGAAATACCTCAGTTGCCTGTTGACTAATGACAATGTAATAAAAATCAATTCATTTTGTGTTGATTGAAAACATTCAGTGATTACAAAATGTCATGCAAGCTGAATCTTATTGAAACTGATATAATTTTAGAGGTGCAATTTGAGGAAACTGTTATTGAATATAAAATGCTGTACTACTAAATCTTAGCTGAACTAATGAAATTCATTTCATTATGAGATTGAATATCCTATGTGATTCCTGAGCTAAATGAATTGGAAAATAATTTCATCAAATTGCTCAGAGTGAGCTAAAAGGCTGGATATATGGAGACTTTATGCCAGAATTTCTGCAATTGAGAGAGGGAGAAATATACTCTACTAATTTTTCTTTGCTGTAGTACTCAATTCCACGAGTTTTTTTGACCAAGCTATTTTAAATTTCCTATATAACCTTCTGGATTCATAGAACAGATCTAGGCTGAAATTTTATTCTCAGTTTGGTTTCTCAAGCTTCTTAACTTATTACCTAACCAACAAATTATTATATTATTAATTAATGAAATTCTATTTTGAAACTTGTAAGACTTAATTGGGAAGCTAAGCTGATTAACCAGCATAATTAATCATTGAACTTTCATTGATCGTATCGCATGATTAATTATAGCTTCACAGTCACCTTGACCATGACCCATATATAGGAAAACATATTTGTTTGTTATATGTTCTTGAGCCATATCAACCGCCATATTATTAGAAAATAGGAAAATTATTTTATTATTTATACACCCTTTGCACATTATACAGTCACTGTATTTGAATATTGCGAATTTCAAATTTTGCCAATTGAAAATCACCTCAAACCCATTAGCTTCTGAGTATGAATCCATTTATTTCATATCTACACATGCTTGGGTATCCTTTCTTAACTCTTCATGCTCATGATACTACAGCATGTGCAGGGCCTGCGATGATATTAGGGAGGTCAAGTTAAACACGTTTTGTGGTAGGAAGTTAATGTGAACATGTAGTATTATGAACATGTAACAGTGATCTCCACCCATCTGAGATTTTGAAAAAGGCTTGCACCCACCTGAAAATCCATTTGCACCCACTTGAAAATGAGGAAATCATGAAAAATTGGCATTTTTTGACAAATTTTGGTCTAAATTGTAAAAAGGGGAATTTTGCGCACACCTGAGAAAAAATCCTTGAGCGATCACTGTGTAAGGATTAGATCCCTGTGTCATAGGATTTACTTTCCTGATTTAGAATAAAGATATTAGGAAAAACTTGAAATTAGGTGGTCCCTGTAAAACCAATTTAAGGGGGGGGCTGCAATCCAATTAGGGTCAAAATATTACATGTTAACATGCAAGTACTCTTAAAATGTGTAGCTTTACCTCCCTATTGTATGTGTTATAAAGTATTATTTCATGCTTGATTAAATAGTTTGTTTCTGTTTCAGCCAGAGAATATTGGTTCATTGCCGAGTCTTCAGGAGCTCTGGTTGGATTGCAATGAACTCTCAGAACTACCTCCGGTAAGTCACACTCGTATATCACACCTACGTAAGTGTCTTCGCCTCTGATATTAATTATCATCAAACAGTTAGTCACCCTTTGTATCTTTCCTTTAGCACAGTCTCAATCAAACTTAAACTCTGTTAGAGAATTTTTGTATGATTTGTAGTTATGAGTTGTCCTAAAGTATTGTCATAATTTTGATAGCTTCTCGTGACTGGTATTAGATATCCGTAACAAATTGTTACAAATGTAGCTCACAGACTGTTACATTTTTTTAGCTCATATGGGTGAGCAATTGTTGTTAGTTGTAAGGGGGCACCCAGGTGTTGACATCTTGCTCTGTTCGTGCCTTTTTATTATGTTACATTATTATTTCTAGCTTTTCATAAGCAACAACCACCTCCATTGTTGTTATCGACTGCCTCGTTTTCTTCGTATGGAAGAAAATCAAGTGCACGCAACCAAGCTTAATAATCCTATCGCATTTACTGGTTGAAAAATTTGAAATTAATATGTGGGAGATAAAGAGGCCCTAACCCTTGAAGATACCAGCAGACAGAGGTTGCCATGTTCTCCTAATAATAATGCTTTTTAAGTAAACAAAGAATAAATGAAACAACAGAGATTTCAACTTGTAGTAAAAAGTTGCTGTTACGTGAAATATGTATATTACTTCTAATGCACCTACAGCCTTAGTGGATGTGAGACCCATCTGTTATGTGCAATCAGTTTTGATACAGGGTTTATCCCCCAGGAAAATATGTATCTCAAAGTTTTACCTCAGGATAAACCTTGTATCCAAAACCTTCCATTATATAACCCTATTAGATATTGTTGTATTCACAGTAAACAGTATATCTAGCCTAAAATTCTATGCATGTTTGTTATATCACTTAGAGTTTGCCCCTTGGGCCTCCTTTGAAGCTTCGTAGCAGGTTACGTGATGCGCATAGACAACTTGTTAAGACACAATCAACTTTTAAAAAGTGGAAGATTGCACAAATGATATAAAATGGTGAAAGAATATCTCATCTTTTTGAATATGTAGAATAAAGTTTTGTAAATGTGCTTAATAGGAATATTGGTCTAATGAGATTAGTGCTAAAGAGAGGGAATTCACTCAGTAAAATCCTGTTTTATTTAGCATGTATCAACATAAAGTCTCTTTAGTATGACAAAGGTATTGGCAATTTGTGGCCATCAATCTTGTTTTTATCCATAAATTAACATGTCTACATCACAAATGACAATTAATTTTTCTGTTTTTATCTACATGTTGAAGAATGTTCATAGAATTTTTAAAGCTTCATTTTCGAGAGGAAGCAGTATGTTTAGACCATAGAGCAAAAATTAAAGTTGAGTTGAAGGTATATTTCCCCGAAGTATTCCTCGTCTTAGCTAAGAGCTATGACCTTATTTCAGAAATATGCTTTTGTTTTGCTAAGATAATTTAGACCCATTTTTCAATTCTAATGAATTTTAACATTTCTGCCATCTTAAATGTTCACATTGGATCAGATATCCCAATCTTTTTCATATAAGTATATGAAAATAAGGTACACATTGACATGACTATTAAAAAGATTGCATCTAGCTTTTTACACCATATTAATTGAAATAAATGTTCATGCATTTCCTAATAGCTCAATAGAGGCTTTGCTATATAGCTTTGAAATCTCACTGAAGTCTCACGGTTGAGGATCTTCTGAAAGTTGTGGGAATGTACTTGGTTATTTAGTACTAGGTTGCAACAAAATCTATTTTGGGAGTAATTCTTGTTTTCCAGTGAGACCTTTTAGCATCAAGGAAATGTTTTTGCAAAGTAAAAAATGGGTTCTCCTTTTTTGTTTCAATAAAGTTTTGAATTATTTGAGACAAAGCATTGCATTCTCTCATACATTTATGAATACAAGGTCTTGATCTTATTTCACTGAATCTTGTTTCATATTCGCCCAGTGTTATGTTTTCTTTTCAAAGTTGGATTGCCCTCTAAATATGAAATAAGCAGTCTTAGAAGCATTATTCAACTTAAGATGTGGCCCAAGTCTTCTGTGATATTATCATGTGATCAATAAAATTATGTTCAAGTTTAATCGATAGAAGTGTCATCGGCATATACAAATATTTTGTTATGTGGAAAATGAAAAACATTTTATGTTGGATTGTGCTTTTATAATGACTTAAGGTCAGACTTATTCAGAAAAATTGTATATCAATTGCCTGCATTTCTACATATGGACAGAGATTTGAAATTTTTTAACTTAATGAGCAATATTAGTATTTACCTTTATGTTGCAAAGGCCTGTGGCAAAATGCTGAAACTTCGAGAAAATTTTCTATATAAATGGTTTACATGTATTTATAGTGTCCTATAGGTCGTTGTCGGCCTGGAGTGTTTTAATTGTATTTTATATGTTTTATAACTCATGACACTTTAATAAAATAAATAAATAAATATGAGAGTACAAGCTGTGAATACCAAAATGAGTATGGGGGACTTCTCTGTTACTACTATAACATTATCTAATATAAAACAGTAATTGTTCCAATTAATTCCCATTTTCATTCCTCCCAGGCAGTAAAGAGGTTAATAGATACTGATTGTTGTCCTACCTACGTTAAATTGCTCTTCAGGTGACCTTCAATGTATTTTAATCTACAGAATGCAATTTTATCATAGAATACAAGAGTGATCTCGAGTGAGTGATCATAGAGTGATCTCGGAGAAATATCAATTTGTCATTGGTTTGCTAATTAAAGGGTGGTTGACCTGATGGTAAAGACAGGTTTTGATTTAGCAAAATGTTGACCACTTAAAGGTAGATGATTTCTTGTAACTCCAATGTTCAATAAGACAGCAGAGGGTAGTCTCGAGTGTTTATTGAATTTGCTTCATGAGAAAAAGAATCATTGATTCATTTCAATTTTGCCCTTACCCTCTTCCCTATACTGCCAATCTCAAACAGCATCAAACGGTACTGTTTGTGAAACAGTGCTGGACAACGCTGTAAAAACAGGACTGTACTACGCTGTTCAAAACAGGTGATGCTAGAATAGCACTATACAGCGTAGTACTCAAACTGTACTGTTCGGTACTGTTTACAGCGCTGTAAGATGATGTTGTGGATTTGGGGTGTAGAAGTGAAACTAACAATGTTTTTCTAGGTACATATAACTAAATATAAAATTAGAAAACAAATGTTTCTAATTTAAACCTCTTACCCAATATTCTTAAGAAACATGAATTGACTGAAATTGATTGAAAAACACATACTTAAAACCTACATGAGAATGATCAAGCATTGAATCAATCTAACAACCAGTGAATATTTCTGTTGTTTATTCTTTTAGGAGATTGGTAACCTGAAGAAATTAACTCAGATAGATGTCTCTGAGAATCATTTGGAGTTTCTGCCCGAGGAGATTGGAGGGCTCACCAACCTGACTGACTTACAACTCTCCCAGAACCAACTGGAAAGTCTTCCTGAAGGCATAGGTAAGACAACATCAGTGATGTAACCAGGAAGAAAAGGGCGACAAGGCGAAACATTTTCCAAACCTTGTCTCGCTTGCCTGGCAATAGAACTGAAGTCTCATCTGCCTCATCTTGGCTACGCTAAAGATCATATATTTTTCAGTTTTAAGGAAATAATCTTGATGGATAAGATGAACATACAGGGGTTGAATTTCCATTCATTATAAAAACAACATTTCCATTAATAAAATCAACATTTACCCCCTCCCCAATGAAAGTAACTTCCACAATAATGATCCAAGATGTCTCGTTATGACTAGGGTCTCATATCATCTTTGCTAAGAGCTGTTGGCAAATTGTAGATTTACATTTTGCATTTCTTTTATCTCTAAAACTTTTTGAAGTGTAAATCCAGCTATTGGGTACACACTTGTGTTGAATGAGCTATATTAGTAAGTAGCATTGTGGTTTGATACCAGACCTCATGGGTTTCATTTATCATCATCATTTTACAGATCTAACCTAGCAATGAATATGGGAAATAGAATCGATTTGTGAAATAAATCTCCATGGATTTTAATTTTTAACATGACCCATAAAACACGTACAATGAACTTTGATATAAATTATCCGTAAATTACATGATGATATTATTGGTAACAAAAGTTATCGCCACACATTACTTCAATTTATTGTAGAGGCTGCAATAATTATCTGGAAAGTGATCTACTGATCCTTAACATTAATATAATAACAACATTGACATTTATGCTTTAGTTTACAACAATATAATATTTCAGTGATGATGTTGGTTATTTCACTCATTCAAGTGATATATATTCACTGTGGAGTAACTCTTCAAAATGTCGCAATTGCAAAGAGATTATTTTACTTTTTCCATGATTTCACGAGACAACCTCTTTGGCGAACACTGTGAGTCAGCATCATATGTTTTCGAAAATCTAAATGTTTGTGAATGAATAATTCACAAGATGACAGAATCATTGATATACTTACAAAAATGAAAGGTTAAGAACTGTTAAAATCTGCACTTTTAACCGTTTCATCTATGTAATAAAAGTGGTTAATTAATATTTTGTAAAGATTTTGCCTACAACTTGTGAAATTGTGAAAAAAAATTGTACCGTTGAGGCTGTTACATTTTGTTACAAAAGCAAATCCGTTTCCGTAACTAATTTGAAGAGCGACTCCAAAGTGATATTGCAAGCTTATGTGATATTTCTTCCATATTACACAGATACACATGATGAAATCAATAAAAATGAGATTTTGAAATTAAAATTAATAATATTCAATGATGTGGCTAAACTCAATAAAGTATTAGAACAATAATGTATTCTCTACATTGTATCCCAACAGAAAGCTTTGAGCCAGACATTCTAATCGATTGCAAAGAAATATATTAAATATAAAATTAGTATCACTGTCCTTCAAATGTATTAACTTAAAGAGAGAGTCAATGTACATGTATATGTATTGTGTTATAGATTCTTGACTTTTAAATCGCTCATTTTAAATACTCATTAATTAGCTATAATATATCCTCAAATGTAAGTGCAGCATCCTAATGAAGCCAGTGTGAATTCATGGTTACAATTGAGATCCAAACATTGGATTTCATCAAAACTGATTACTTTGGCTAAACCATTGAACATCTTTAACATTTTTTTATCAATATTGATCCGTTTGCTCATTAGTTACAAGGACTTTATCAAGGTCAATTTAGGGAAAGGATGCTGGGATATAAATTACAAATGCTTTAATGGTCTTTGTGGTCTCCCATAATCTTCCTGTGTTAATGTAATTGACATCATTAAATGGATATTTTCCTCCCTTACAAAATACTTGAAGTTGACATAGTTAGATAGATAACTTTCTTCCCTTACAAAATACTCGTAATTAACATTGTTAAATAGATAACTTTCTTCCCTTACAAAATACGAGGTAGATTTTCATCTTGGTTCAGCTTCACCTGTTCATTGATTCAATATATTCGAAAGGAGAAACTGACAGGAATTGTCTGCCTGTAGATGGCAGAATCGAACATGACACTTTTTATTGCATTTTATCAAAGTGCATATTGTTGTTGCCTTGTGCTAGTGGGAGTGTTTACAGCTGTGCATGCGGGAGGGTGGGTTCACTGAATCTTTTTATCAAAATTCCTGGAAAACTGGTAATCCGCTCACCTTGAAATTTTTACATGTGTTAGATCAGACTAGTGCAGAGATCTGAATCAAGGTTGTTTCAATATATTCGATTTATTGCTCTGAAAATCTCAAAATTATTTGATAATACAGTACCAAGAATGTCTTGCTATTTTAAGCTCCCATCATAACCTCAAGGCAATAACACTATTATGCAAAGTAAATTGCTTTCATTACTTTGCTTATTGCTATTCAAAATGTTTTAATGAATATTTACATGTAATCTAATATAACAGTATATTCTAAGCAACACAATTGTAAAGAGTGCCTTGTCATCTAATATGCTCTAAAGCACATAATTCTTGACTCATTCTTGTTATATTATACAAGAGAATATTTATGATTTTTGAGGGATATGATTATCCCAACAAACGAAGTTTTGTAGGGATATAGAAGCCCTCCGTCCGTCCGTCTGTCAGTTCGTCCGTCTGTCTGGAAGATAACTCGAATACTAGTTAACAGATATTCTTCATATTTGGTGGAAAGATGTATATTGGTGAATAGTTATACGCAAAAAAAGCTTTTTTTTCAAGATGGTCATCAGTTTAAAAATGGCGAGAATTTTTCGCAAAACTCTTATGTTTTTCATTTTAAACCAAAAAGATAATAAATATTTTTATTTGAAATTTTGGTAGTTTATCTCTCTATTTCACATATATCCTAAAAAAATGGGGGATTGGAAAAACAGGAATTTGTGTTAATTTTGAGATGTTTTTGAAGTATAGCTTTATTATACTTAAATGAAAGGCAGTTTAGAGTAGATTGCAAATATTGTAGCTATATAGTGTTCGTTGGAATTTGCTACTCCGTGGAGTTGCCATTTTCTAGTTTATATTCATAATTGGTTGTATCGCGTTACCATACTTTATAAATAGTATCTTGAAAGGGATATGCTAAAAATGTTGTTACTCTGTTTCAGGTCAGTTAAGAAAGCTATCCATTCTAAAAGTTGACCAGAACAGATTGTTAATCTTAACACCTCAGATCGGAAAGTAAGTAAAACTTTTTTATACAGTAAAACCTGTCTTAATTAACACTTCCCTCTAGTGAACACCTGTGTCTAGTGAACACCTCTTCTCAGCTCATACTCCACTGAGTTCTGTATAAAGTAGCTGTGGTGAACACCTACCTATAAGTAAACACATCATTTTTGTGGCTTCTTGAATGTTCACTGTACACGGGTCTTACTTTACTTTATCAAAATCATACCTAATAGTTTATGTAAATATACAACGATTCAATTGTTGGTTTCAGCGAGGAACTTTAAAAACACTCAGCAATTAGCTGAGGTCAGTTTGAAAGACAATTTGGATGAAATAGTTTTCAAAGGTCTCAATAACCTGATGCTGCCATTAGCAGTCTAACTTATTGTATGGGATTATCCAAGGCAGATAGACAATAATTGTTCTTGAGACCTGGATTGTTTACAAAATGACATTGATGGCTATAGGGAATAATGTATGGTATGGCGACCTGATGAATATTTATCATACATGATAATTAGAAGGTGTCTATGTATGATGTCTCAGACTTCAGATATGTTATTGACTCTTATCCTATACCCAGTTAAGTTTTAGGGAGATAAGTTGGTAAAATATATCCTGTATCCTTGATTTGGAGGTTTCCATATCCAGAACCTCCATTCCTCCAGCTGGGCATACCTTCCCACTTCCAGTAATTACGAAAAATCTACTGGGTATAGGATGAAGCAGTTATGTATGATCAGTTTGGAAATGGAGTTTATCCCTTGGGAGATATACATATCTCCCTCTGGATAATCCCCATATCCAAACGACCCAGTACATAACCCTTATTTATCTCCCATTTGGAAACCTTTGAGGCAGTCTTAGCACTGTTTACTTTTGAGGTTTTACATTTTGCATAACTGACTGTTTGTGTTTTATGTTTTGTAAAATTTCTTTTGTAATATAGTTGTGGGTTCTACCCCCACTTGGGTAGACTGACTTTTTCAGATCAGCCCTTAGCACAGGATTTCATTCTGTGTTTTCATTAACCAACTATTGTTTATATTTCAGTTGTGAATGTATGAACGAGCTGATTTTAACTGAAAACCTTCTGTTGGTAAGTTAGAAATATCTGATCCCACCCACCTCATAGTAAAAATATTTATCCATTTTCACTCTATTATTTTATGAGGCTTGGTGATTCCATGGAAATTGAAGAAGTTATCTTTTTGTTGTCTTTTGATTCATGAAATAAAGAGAAAAGCTTAAAAGGGAATTGTTTATTTCATGTTTCTTGGTGAAAATAACGAGTAAAACTGTTATTTCATCATAATAATGTTAATAAGATTGCATAAGTTACAGTAATTATTATTTTATAGCACTGTCAGTAAATAGCCTTATAATCTTATTATAAACGTATAATCAAGTAAAAATAGAAATGTATCAGTTTAAATGTAGTTTTGACAGGAGCTTAGTTAGTTCTTTCATTTAAATTCCTTCTACAAATTGTCAAATCGATTACTAATAAAGAATTATACTAGGAATCAGTGATTTATGACCAAGAAACGTGTCTGAAATAGATAAGCAAGTTTTCACGTATACATTATATGCAGTAATATGCATATTAAAACTAAGTATAAAGATTTATAAACATGCTATAAGAGATTTACAAAATTCAAGTATCTATTTCCATGCTGTTCACTGTTTTTACCATGCTGCTCATAGTTATCTTCATTCTGTTCACTATTATCATGTTGTTCACTGTTTTATCATGCTGTTCAATATGATTAACATGCTATTCATTTGCAGGAACTGCCTACAACTATAGGGAAGATGAAGAGAATTACCAACTTCAATGTGGACAGAAATAGACTACAAGATATTCCAATGGAGGTATGTGTTATCACAATTTCCCTAATTCTGTTACTATAAGACGATGACAAAGCTGTCATTTTGCAAAATTTTACTGTCGAGTTCAAATGAGTAAAAGTAATTGTGCATTGACTGAAGCTTCAATTAGTTATGCAAGAAAGTGTGACACTTTTATCATCTACACTGATCAAGATGTCTCAAAGTCATCATTGTACAAAATCTTGTATTTCATACAACTAAAAATCTTGAATCCCTTACAAATGAAGAGTAATCCATGACATGAGGCAGTTTGTCAGTGCATAATTCCTCATAGTTCAAATGCACAGAATACTATTATCTCATTGTCTTGCATATCTCTGCAATCGGAAACTCAAGGGGAATATGAGCCGAGCAAAAACTAGTTACAAGGGAATATTACAATTCACAAAATGTACTTTGTAATGCCTTTATTTAAACTAGCAATCTACGCATTCAAGTGTAACAGAGTATCCAAACAAATACCGAGATATTGACATTTAATCTTGGAATGACCTTGACCATTAAAGTTGACCTTGACCTTAGATTACCTAATCACTGGTCGTTTAGGGTCACAGCAGCCCCAAAGGGTCTTGCAATGCTAAATATCTAGAATGACCCGGACCCATAAAATTGACCTTGACATCATCTAATCATTGGCCATTTAAGGACAACTGAAATAGCTTTTCTCAACTTGCAGCTACAAAAATGCAGTTTTCTCCATTGTAAGCCCAACGTAGTGTTCTTGCGATAGCCATTATAAAATAATAAATGTTAGATAACTGCTTATTGTCATAGATAACGAAATAAAACTGACTGATCAATCAAATTGGCCCCCACGTGATTAGTAACGTCATCTACAAAATATAGCTTTGGTTTATTGGTTCCTTAGTAATCACGTCACGGCAACCATAGGATTGTTGTGTGAACAAATAACAAAACATTTTGGCATTATGACGTCATGATCTAATGGACCAAAACGGGCCACGTGGGGACCAGTGAGAAATCACGTGGGGCCAATAATGTCACAATCAATTCGAATATTGCTTATTAAGCAGCTATAACGATCGTTATAGTGAAATTATTTTCACACAACTGATGAGAAAACATGTCCAAATACATTTATCAAAAAATGATATTGATTCCTTTAGGTTGAAAATACCATTTCTTATCTGCTTTACCCTCTAAGGGTTTTAATATGGCAAATATCAAGATATTGACCTTTGAGCTTGGAATGACCTTGTAGAATACCCAATAGCCCACTTAGTTTGTTCATAGTTCACCAAGTATGATGACCCAAGATTGAACAGTCTCAATCCATGACAATTTTTTAATGATTAGAGCAAGCTTCAAAAGTCAAAGTACCTTTTACAGCCCTTAGCTAGAGTGCTATTGCCTAACCAACTATGAGGAAAAAGACTGTATTTGTTAACTGTACAGTTTTCATTTTATTCATTTGCCATTTAACGATATGAGCACAGTGACATATCACAAGTAGGTTTTCTCATTAGCTTGTCGCTTGGGTTGCTAAAGTATGACAAGTACTCATTAATGATAGGTTAATTGATGCTTCCTATGATAGCCAAGTAATACACTGTAATTAACTTCATTTATTAATTTATTGGATAAAAGTAAATTAGACGGTCAACGTGACATATTGCGAGCACAAAAGGGCAATATCAATAGCTCTGTTACAAACATAAATAGTTTCTTCATCATTTATAATATTTTTATTCAATTTGAAACACTAAATGAAAATATGATCAGCATGCGTATATCGATGCATTACAATATAAAATAATATACTGTTATACCATATTTGGAGCTATTATTATGACTATGTACCATATATGGTAGTGTATCATAGCATGGCCATCTTGTCATTGTTTGCACAGGAGATCAGTAGGAAAACAACATTACGATTAATCTTAATTCAGATCTATTGAAAAAACAAGCTGTTGCCATTTGCTTCTCTGGAATAAATATCATAGCCGTTATGCTAATTAGCCGTTGATGTATAGCCCATTGAACTATTTCTAATGACGTCATATAATGATAAAAAATCCATTGTGTATACAGTAAACAAGAGACTGGGATTGTTATTTGAGAATGCTAGTTTAAGTAAAATATGATAACTGTTGAAATTGGGTATGATTATTAATGTCTGGGTCACGTTTGTACTGATTTATTGCCCAGCGCCTGGCCCATTGAGTGTTTTGTTCAAAATTGCATGTCGTTTTGACCAAAATACTCAATTGGCCGGGCACTGGTCGATGAATCTGAGTAAATGTGACCCATGCATAAACCAAAAGGTTTTTATAACAAAAATCATATAATTCATCAATTCGTTCAGATCCATCCTTATTGCTCAAATTGTACTCTGTATGATAATGCTGACATCTGTACATTTATGTTATTCCCCATAAGGATTTCTAGGTGTTTTTTTTGGTTTTTTTTAATTTATTTATTTATTCATATATATTTCAACATCAAATGTACAGTAAACGGGTGACACTTCTCGTGTATATTCCCGTGTTTATAATCATGAAATGTACAGATTGGGGATCTGCTTGTGTGATGAATGCTACTATCTATGTCTGACTAAGAATGTGTCATATAATGCCCACTATGGTTATCTGAAATTGATATTTTTTCAATTCTTTTTTCATAATAAAAATACTTCCAGATGATGTTATTTCAATAGGTAATGAATTCCAAATTGATGGTGCAGTAAAAGATATCAAGGCTTTACCATAATTTGTTCGAATTTTGGGTTTGTCATAGTTTACCCTATTTCGGGTGTTGTAAGCATGTCTCTCTTGGATGGTACTGAAGAGGTTTGGAAAAATTTTATGATAATTATGGAGTTTATTAATCCATTTGTACATGAAAATGCATTTCAACTGCTTATTAATATCAAATATATTCAAAATGTTCAGTTGTTTGAATAGGGGAAGGGAATGTGCTCTGTAGTTACTGTTTGTTGCAATACGTGTAAATTTTTTCTGCAAAATATGAAGGGAGTTTAACAAACCACTACCTGCTTCACCCCAGATAAGATTGCCATATATAGGTTGAGTTGGCCCTAAGGTGCATTCAATATATAGCAGTGATTGTAATCAGTGATGGATTGCATATCATGCTTTCATATCTTTATTGTGTCTTGAGACAGCCCCCTCTCGCATGTTCTTATTTATTTTTCCTCAAACATAAACATTTTAAGGAGTATTATATTTGAGTACATTTGCCGTGGTCACCTTATCATCATTGACTGGACCTTATGCCCATGTTATACTCTCATAGACTGGAAAGAATATTTCTAGACAACGTGAGCATGGAACAACCCTATAGTATTAAATTCATTTGTAATTTCAGATTGGTCGGTGTACTAAGCTGAGTGTGCTCTCCATGAGGGACAATAGAGTGATGCACCTCCCTATAGAGATAGGTAACCTCAAGGACCTCCATGTGCTTGATGTATCTGGGAATAGGTAGGTGTAATCAGCAGTAGACTGCTTTGTTCTCTTTGTACAATAGAGTGATGCACCTCCCTATAGAGATAGGTAACCTCAAGGACCTCCATGTGCTTGATGTATCTGGGAATAGGTAGGTGTAATCAGCATAGACTGCTTTGTTCTCTTTGTACAATAGAGTGATGCACCTCCCTATAGAGATAGGTAACCTCAAGGACCTCCATGTGCTTGATGTATCTGGGAATAGGTAGGTGTAATCAGCATAGACTGCTTTGTTCTCTTTGTACAATAGAGTGATGCACCTCCCTATAGAGATAGGTAACCTTAAGGACCTCCATGTGCTTGATGTATCTGGGAATAGGTAGGTGCTATCAGCATAGACTGCTTTGTTCTCTTTGTACAATAGAGTGATGCACCTCCCTATAGAGATAGGTAACCTTAAGGACCTCCATGTGCTTGATGTATCTGGGAATAGGTAGGTGTAATCAGCATAGACTGCTTTGTTCTCTTTGTACATTAGAGTGATGCACCTCCCTATAGAGATAGGTAACCTCAAGGACCTCCATGTGCTTGATGTATCTGGGAATAGGTAGGTGTAATCAGCATAGACTGCTTTGTTCTCTTTGTACATTAGAGTGATGCACCTCCCTATAGAGATAGGTAACCTAAAGGACCTCCATGTGCTTGATGTATCTGGGAATAGGTAGGTGCTATCAGCATAGACTGCTTTGTTCTCTTTGTACAATAGAGTGATGCACCTCCCTATAGAGATAGGTAACCTAAAGGACCTCCATGTGCTTGATGTATCTGGGAATAGGTAGGTGCTATCAGCATAGACTGCTTTGTTCTCTTTGTACAATAGAGTGATGCACCTCCCTATAGAGATAGGTAACCTAAAGGACCTTCATGTGCTTGATGTATCTGGGAATAGGTAGGTGTAATCAGCATAGACTGCTTTGTTCTCTTTGTACATTAGAGTGATGCACCTCCCTATAGAGATAGGTAACCTAAAGGACCTCCATGTGCTTGATGTATCTGGGAATAGGTAGGTGCTATCAGCATAGACTGCTTTGTTCTCTTTGTACAATAGAGTGATGCACCTCCCTATAGAGATAGGTAACCTAAAGGACCTCCATGTGCTTGATGTATCTGGGAATAGGTAGGTGTAATCAGCAATAGACTGCTTTGTTCTCTTTGTACAATAGAGTGATGCACCTCCCTATAGAGATAGGTAACCTTAAGGACCTCCATGTGCTTGATGTATCAGGGAATAGGTAGGTGTAATCAGCATAGACTGCTTTGTTCTCTTTGTACAATAGAGTGATGCACCTCCCTATAGAGATAGGTAACCTAAAGGACCTCCATGTGCTTGATGTATCTGGGAATAGGTAGGTGTAATCAGCATAGACTGCTTTGTTCTCTTTGTACAATAGAGTGATGCACCTCCCTATAGAGATAGGTAACCTTAAGGACCTCCATGTGCTTGATGTATCAGGGAATAGGTAGGTGCTATCAGCATAGACTGCTTTGTTCTCTTTGTACAATAGAGTGATGCACCTCCCTATAGAGATAGGTAACCTTAAGGACCTCCATGTGCTTGATGTATCTGGGAATAGGTAGGTGTAATCAGCATAGACTGCTTTGTTCTCTTTGTACAATAGAGTGATGCACCTCCCTATAGAGATAGGTAACCTTAAGGACCTCCATGTGCTTGATGTATCTGGGAATAGGTAGGTGTAATCAGCATAGACTGCTTTGTTCTCTTTGTACAATAGAGTGATGCACCTCCCTATAGAGATAGGTAACCTTAAGGACCTCCATGTGCTTGATGTATCTGGGAATAGGTAGGTGTAATCAGCATAGACTGCTTTGTTCTCTTTGTACAATAGAGTGATGCACCTCCCTATAGAGATAGGTTACCTTAAGGACCTCCATGTGCTTGATGTATCTGGGAATAGGTAGGTGTAATCAGCAGTAGACTGCTTTGTTCTCTTTGTACAATAGAGTGATGCACCTCCCTATAGAGATAGGTAACCTTAAGGACCTCTATGTGCTTGATGTATCTGGGAATAGGTAGGTGTAATCAGCAGTAGACTGCTTTGTTCTCTTTGTACAATAGAGTGATGCACCTCCCTATAGAGATAGGTAACCTTAAGGACCTCTATGTGCTTGATGTATCTGGGAATAGGTAGGTGTAATCAGCATAGACTGCTTTGTTCTCTTTGTACAATAGAGTGATGCACCTCCCTATAGAGATAGGTTACCTTAAGGACCTCTATGTGCTTGATGTATCTGGGAATAGGTAGGTGTAATCAGCAGTAGACTGCTTTGTTCTCTTTGTACCTTTCAGTGCCCCTTATGTGGGAAGGGGTGGAATTTTATCAAAATAGAAATTTGCCTGTCAAATCCCATACTCTGGGAGTAACACAGTGAGTCAATTTCCCCACCGTGGGAGTAACACAGTGAGTCAATTTCCCCACCCTGGGAGTAACAGATTCCTTGCAATCTTTAACTCTAGTTATTTTGGAACATTTAAAAGATTATGAATCACTATCTGGCCAGTAGAATTCAACTGTATCAAAAAAGTTAACCAAATTGACATGTTTTACAGTATGTCAATTGATTTTTTATTATTGCCTGGATTCTGTGAACATATTGGGACAGTCACAGTTGTTTTGCTTACATCTATCATTACCCTGGGCAATATATATTGATTACTGTAGTACAAAGATTGTGTTTGATCACTGTTGATTTCATCTGGGATATTCTGCCAGAAGAGACTTGTATTTTAACACACAGCTGGGGCTACCACCTGATGTTCAATGTTATTTTTGAAAGGTTTATATTTCAAACAATAATTTATGTACTACTCTATGTAGAGTACAACACTTTTCACTATTATGTAACAAGTTCATTCTATACAATAATAATTTATCTAAATTGATAAGACTGTCAACACCTCATTTACATTTTTAATATTTTAGCTCAAATGTAAAAGAAGATTTATTCATTTATTTTGATTAAGTCGACATGATGAAATTATGATTTTTGTAGGTTTTACAATAAATAATGAGAACAAGTGAATCATTTTTAATTTGTTCCTATTAATAACACATATATAGAAAGTAAGGATATATATATAGGGATGATCATGTTAAGAAGCTGAACTTTTAACCCACACAGTTCAGTATTAAAAGTAAATGATTGTAATTAGCCTTGTATCTAACAATGCATTATGGTGTAATGCAATACAATAATATGAAAATAACTATTGGTATGCTATTGAAATAAGACATTATTATTACAGCTATGAGTCTTCGTTTTGCCAATCACGACCCAATAAATGAAGATGACTCCTTTGTTCGTTATGCTATAATCTTGTTATTTCTTGGTAACTTGCAGGCAGAACTCTCTCACAATATAAACATTATCATATTTTGCAATTAAATAGCCATTAAACCAACGAAAATAATCATTCAGAATGCATCTAGAATCACATTGTTGCCTTCTTCTTGATTAAAAACATTTTCATTAAAGATCAGGAATCATGTCCTTATGTAAGTTAATATACATGGATAAGATGCAAAGATGTCTCCCTGGGAAATCCAACATTACTTTAGACCCAATGCGTTAATGCTAACTGTAACTGTGCTGATTTGGCCACGACTGGTTTAATAAAGACAGTCTTAAGCAGTGTAATCTCTATTAAACCTTATATCTAAGAATAGATTATTGAACAAAACTGTAGTTGGGAAATAGGATTACAAAACTCTCTGAAGGATTAGTTGTTTGTAGAGACTTGTTAATAAGAAAATGGCATGCTTATCTGAGATATATTGTTATATTATAACACTAGATTCAGTTAAAGTGTTTCACATTAGAATTATTTTCACCTGGAGGATGGTGTTGTATTTTTATCGCTCCCGTGGGTGGAATATTGTGATGAGTTAGCCAGACGGGTGGGTCATTTGAGGGATGACATTTTCAGGGGTGTTTCTACGTATGAAGGTTTAGAACTGATTAGTTTTTGGGCATTCTGGGTAAATGTTAAGGCAGTCATTTTTGATTTTCTATCCTAAAATCTTGCTTGTCAAGGTTTCATGGATTCATCTGAAATCTTCACGGATGTTAACTATGTATGAAAATTTAGAACTGATTAGGTTTTGGATAATCTGGGTAATTTTGAATTATCCATCCTAAAATTTTGTCTGTAGAAGCTTGTCTTCCATTATTCACCCTGTGTCTTGTTTGATTTTGAAGGGAAAATATAGCATATAAAATCATCCACTTTGCCAAACATAATAAACATAAAGTAGTTTTATTATCATGTTCTCTAAAATACTTGCTCTGTAGGTTTCTCCTGAAATGTGAACACTTATTGCAGTTTCAAAGGTTTTCCTGTATATTTATTATTGATATATTGTTGACTTGAATTCCTGCCTTTAACAATGACTCATCTGAACGTGTTAGGCTCTGTAGTGAACACCTCCCTAATGTGAACACCTCCGTACAGTGGACACCTTTTTAGGTTCCAACGATTTTCCTGTATATTGTATTGTAGCCTTGAGTTTCTATGAGTGGCTTCATAGATTTTGATATTGAATATTCCAGACTTGAGTACCTGCCTCTGACAGTGACCCAGCTAAACCTGAAGGCTCTGTGGCTCTCAGAGAACCAGGCCCAGCCAATGTTGAAGTTCCAGACAGACTATGATGAGAAGACCAACCAGAAAGTGTTGACATGTTTCCTCCTTCCTCAACAGGCTTATCATACAGAGAGCATGGGTGAGATTGTGTACTTTTCTAGGAATACCATGATACATATTTTTTATCGAAATCAATATAAAACATATGATATGAGCAAGGGCAAAGCTTGAAATATAGCGTAATCCTAAATAAACAAATAATGCCCCATTTTTGAATTGAGACCTGCACACGTTTGAATTTATTCAGTTTGTTTAGATATGATCCAATACTATGAAAAAATGGGTAATTATGGGACCCTTGTACTATAGTCACACATGTCAGACATTACAAATAAAAATACTGACTGTTTAACTTGATACTGCAGAGAATCTACTAAAAGGCAGTGTAGCTACGGATCAAGACAGTCGTCTCAGCTGGAGTGAACGTGATGTTAGCACAAAGTCTGTTGATACAAGTCGTGTCAAGTTTGCAGGACAAGAAGAAGAAGAGGATGATGAAGTATTAACAGATGATGAGGTAAAAGTTATCAAAGTTTTGCCATTAATTGTGAGATCCAGAAATTGTATCAAATCTGAGATAGAGCAGAAAAGTTTTCAAGTCTGCATCTATTTGCAATTTTCAAAAATTGAGAAATGCATGCTTATGATATTTCTATAGATAGATACGTTATATTTTATATATTCTCTCTGAGTTGAATTCATTTTACCATGTATTTATGAATATTGCCAAATTTATGACCTCATATTAATTGAACATGTATTCCAAAAGAGAGAATGGATTCATTTTTACATTATGAAAATCATAATGATTAGAGCATATTACTTTTCATTTTGACATTTTGATTTTATTGGCTCCAGCTTTTATGTATAATGTATTCAGTTCTCTTGAAAAGAAGGTGTTCAAACATTGATATTACTGAAATTGATGGATTTTTCTTTGTAGTCTCACTTTGTTCGCCATGGTACACCACATCCTAAAGAGCTCAAGGCACGTCACCAGAAACTATTGGCCAATAAAAAGGTAGATGGTCACATGATCCAACATGACCCTAGCAAGAAGAAGGAGGATAATGTCTTTGTGCCGTCACGTGACAAAGATGTCAAGTTTGAAAGTAACGATATGCCACCCAAGCCTGTAGTTAACACTTATACTAAAGCACAGCCTTCTGGTGAGTTTCCTTTTTTAATCTGTTTTTTTCATTTCAATTATTTCGTAATTTGATACAATAATAATACATTGTAATACAATATTAAAAATATATATATGAGTGACAATTGCTAACAAAAGTTAGCATTATGAGTTCACTCTATGAATTGATGGCTTAGAAGGTCTATACAAGCCTATACAATACTATTTCTATGTTTGCCATATGTTTTCTGACCCAAACAGCCACTGTCGAAACTGATAATAACCTAGAGAGAACTAAGTGATAAATTAAACTGATAGGGCACATTTTTATTTAAATATACACTTTTGTAGCTCCACCTGTGGAACCAGTCTATCTCACTAAGCCCCCTGTAAGAGTGGAGCCTCCTAAGCAACCTGTTGTCAAGGAAGTTGTTGTATCTACAGTAACTACTACCATAGCAACCAAAGAGGAGAAACCAAGCACAGATGAAGAGGCTGAATCTGACAACAAGGAGAACTCTCCAGAGGAAGAGGATGATGATGGTGAAGTAAGTGTAATGTTCAAAAGTGTGATAAGCAAAATGGAATTCAAGGGAAAGTTGTCATATTATTTTCCTATAATTGTATATATCTTGGTATTGTCAATATCCTAGCTATGAAGCACTGTTTATGTTGTATTCTTGGATATTACCCCACATGTGCATGAATATTGAACACATAAACACTTAAATAGCCCATGCCTACTAGAGATTTCGGTCTATTCAACCTGTGGCTCTCTAAGCTAGTGGGAATCCTCAATCATGGTATTAAAGAGTGGTACAAATTTTTTACCTGTGTGGCCTCCTTCCCACTTCAAAGAAGACCCTTCTGTATTACTGGATATCTTTACCTGTCTTCAGTATTTTTTATAATAATTGTAGTACAATTGTACCAAACATTCAGAAAACAAGTCTACATCTTTGATATTTCAAATTAGAGCATATTAAACTTTTCTTTCTTTTTTCTTACATTTAGTATGACCACGAGCTTGTATATAGTGAAAAGCATGTTGGTTTCTCAGAAGAATTGGCAGATGAGCCAGAAAAAGACCTGAAGTTACGGAGACGGGATACACCACATCACTTGAAAAATAAACGCATCTTGATTGACAGCTCTGGATCTGATGCTGAACTCAAGGTATTAATTAGAGTATCACATGACAGAAGAAGCTCATTAAGGAGCTCATTAAGAAGCTCTCTAATCTGCTTAATTGTAGTGCAATTGACTAACTATCAATTTGTTTCAAATCCCATGTGATCTAAACTGCTTTTCAAAATAGAAGTTCAGGTTTATGTGATTTCATCAAATGAACAGCAGGTTTAGTTTTAGTTCAAACTTGTTTTCTTTGCTTGTTTTTTTTCAATAGTAATTTAGCCATCCCCACATTTCACATTGTCATTGCTTACATTGTGCCATCACTGAGTATCTGGTGAATCATCACATCACTTTGTACATATTGATAATAGGGCATTAGAATATATGAAGAGACATTTTAAAACAATTGGTAGAAAAGATTAGATCTTGTTGATTTATTTTTGATTTAGTGCACACTTTGACTGTAATAGTCGAAGTTCTGTAGCACAATTGTCGAAATACAATAAACCTTATGTCCTTTTCAAAATTAAGATTGAGTGTCTGATGTCAGAATTTTGAATAAGTTAAGGTCTCAAAAGGCTAGATTGATAGCAAACTGATAAAGTGTCACAAATTTATTTTGATATGAGGTGGCAATCTTCTTGTGATAATGTTAGACTATCACACACTTATCATAGGACTCATCTTTTTATATTGACTTCTGCCCTTCATGGTTGATTTTTACTATTATTGAAACGAAATTTGAAAATTCAGCATGTAAACCAAAACTTCTGTAAGTCACCTACTCTGCCTGGTGTTTACCTGTTCATGCCAAATCCTCATAAATCTATAGCGTTTTTCTTCACATATTCTCCTTTCTTTGCAAAGCTGCCAATACCAAAAGTAAGTAAGATATTTCCTATGTGTCTCTCCTACCCGCCAACCCATCCAGCTACTTCAGTTGCTCTTAGATTAAGGCCCAGTAGATGTGTGTATTCCTTCACTTCACTGGACCCTATGCTAGTGTCAGTCCACCTGTTGTGCATGTTGTATTCCATTGTGTTGTACCTCATTATCAGAATAGGTCTATACTAGTGTGTATTGCACAACCTTTTGTTCATAGTTTTCAAATCTCTGCACCTGTCAGTTTGGAAATCACACAATCGCACTTTAATTTAACATACTAAATTTGAAGTCATATCTGTTGTTATAATTGAGATATGTCCTCCACAGATCCGTGAGATCCTGGCTGGCAAGAAAGCTTCAACTGAAGAAGAGTCAGAAGAGACAGACAAACCATCAGAGCCCTCTGGGGAGGAACTACCAGATTCACCCCCACCACCAATTGTCCCAAGGATGCGAAGATCACCCCCTCCTCCAGCTCGGGAGCCGTCTCCTCCTCCAGAAAGATCTCCTACTCCGCCTCCTGTCGTCCCAACATCAATCTTGTCAAACAGTAAAGAGCCACATGTGTCGTCAACTAAGCAGGTAGCTATGGAGGTGTCTGAAGAAGAGGTGTCCATTAAGATTGTACGTGAGCAAGGTCAGGGCCTAGGGATCAGTATAGCAGGAGGTATTGGCTCTACACCTTACAGAGGGGATGATGAGGTAAATATTGGCCCAATTTTGCCAAACATTGTAAAGTTACTGATCAGTTGCCTTTGGGCAGTCACTCTATAAACCTGGAATATTTGATTTGTGTATCCATAATCTGTATCAAATTTGCATATTGTTGACAAGGCTCCTTATGTAGAATATATCTATTATATTAGATTGGTTGAAACTACACCAGTCACATGTCACCTAGGTTAAGAACTTAAGTTATGCATTCCCAATTTGTATATGATAAATCTTGTTGATACAATCACTGATTTGATTGTAATGTGAATTTTTTCTTGCAGAGTATTTTCATATCCCGTGTGAATGAAGATGGCTGTGCTGCTGCAGCTGGACTCATGGTGGGGGACAAAGTTATCTCAGTAAGTGCCATTTAGTAAGGTTAATTCTGTTTAAGGTACATCCACTGAGCCTAGTAGTGGATAAAAATTACCTGCTTCTACCTTTTTAAGAATCCAGTTCTACCATTTGAAAATCATCTATGGTTATTTTATACACTGAACAAAATGAAGTGAACAATAGATCTTGTACCATCATATATTTATATTGAACTATATATTGAAATGAACATGTATGCAATGATTTGGCTGTTTAGGTAAATGGTGTAAATACTCTTCATGTTGACCACACTGTTGCTGTGCAAGCCTTGAAGGAGGCTGGCAATATTGTATGTATGGTTGTGGCGAGAGAGATGTTTGTGCAGCCAAATGAACCAGTAAGTCTACAGTCAACCAATAGATAACAGTTACACACCTACACCTAAGAGGCATATACTCTAACTGTAACACAAATAGGGGAGGAATTTATCAGGGAGTCATGTATCAAGCCTCTTCTGCCCTCCCATTCTTTCTGAAAGACTTTGGGAAATAAGTAAGGGGTGATGAGAGACTTGATACAAGATTTTGTCACATTTGTTATTTTAGTTTTACACTTGACTTGCTACCTCAAACCCCTTTGTATATCAATTTAGCCTATACCAGAGACCAATGTCCCCCCCCCCCATTATAAAGGACACGATATTCAGATGTTTAAACGTTTCTTCAGTCTCATACCATGCACTCCGAGTCTATCATTTTGAAGTTGGAAATCCTGCTCATATTCTAAATAGAGTTATGGCATTGCATGTTCAAGAAACCTATGATTGTTTGAGGGATTTTCTCATTTTAAATATGTTGTTGCAAGCCTTTTGTACTAAAGATCTTGTTGTTGCATGTCAAGTTTAAAACTAATAACAATATGAACATTTGGAGACGAGGGAATTCTTTCCAAAATCTTGAACCACAGTTATATACCCCATCTATACTTGATTAAATGCATGAATAATTGATATGTTGATAAATAATGATAAGTTTTACATGGTGATGGTTGCAATTGATTCTCTGGGCTTGCTTCTAAGTAAATATATTTAATTCTAAGCACTTGTATTCTAAAATATTTAAATGCAAAATTAATACCCTGCATACTTCTTCAATGTTCATTGGATGTTCAAGTACAGATCATTTTACAGATTAGCCTACTTATGAAAAAAAATAGCTCGCAAAAATCAATTCTTTGTGTGAGGACTGTTTCCTTTGCAAGTTGATATCCTAGCCCTTACAGTTGTCTCATATAATAAAGGGTTCAATATTTGAATGTGGTTGCAAAATGTTATTCAGTTTAGAAATCCTATCAAAGGAACAAGGGAAGATATTTTATGCAGCATCTTTTAAACCATTATTTGCCCACAGCCCATGCCATCTCAAATAATATAGGCAAGAATGATCTGTACTTGGCCAGCAATGTTTGAAGCTATTTAAATCCTTACTAATGTTACTCCCCACTTTACCAGAAGACAGTCCCCAACAGTGAGGTGAAGAAACGCCGCAACTCCGCTGGCAACAACGTATCTTTCGCTCCTGAACCAGAAATGGAGATCCAGGCAGAGGTACAAATACAACATTCGCATACTTTAAAAAACTACAATCCACATCCTGTATATATTTGCTGTCATGGGGTTATATATCTTTCTATGAAACACTAGATGAAGTAAAAGAAAGCAAGAGAGGCCAGATTTTTCTTGGAGATGATTTTTCAAACATGAAAATTCATACTGCATTCGACTCATTTTACAAAAATCCTAACGTTACCTTTGACACCATGAGCCACTGATATGTTCCTTACCACATGATTACTTTTTTCTTTTGGTGGTAGAAGGGTGGTTGAAAGCTGGTGATCAATTTAGCTTAACCTATAACATTGGCAATAACTAAGTTTCAGTGAAATTTAGAAACTCATCAAGTTTCATGTAAAATGTGAGGTGTTAAATTGATATGATTGATTGACTCTTCATATTTCTATGTGAATCACCAGATTGAACGGCCAGATTGAATTTTTTAAGCGCACGTTGGTATATTGGTAATTTTGCTTCAGGCACCCATAATGTGAATAACTTCTACATCTGAAATCTAGTTGGTTCTTATTATATAACTCAGTATTTTGTATGTTTCACATACTTAATATGTTTCAAAGACATTCAATAAATACGAAAACAAATGCAATCATTTCCATGTTCATCAATTAGAAATGTGAAAGGCATTTATATGTATATGTCTGCACATTAGTTAAATATAGACTTTACCTTTGGTAGTTGATAAATATGGAAAAGAGAGCATTTGTTGACATGTAATTCAAAGTCTATATAATTTGGGTTAAGGGTTAACAGTATATTTGGTTATGGATTGGTATTGGTGTATTATAAGGCAGCATCACGTCTTGTTCTTAATTTGATTGGAAGTTAACAAATTCAGCCAAAAACTTTACTGTATAGCATTAGTGGGGGGAATTTAGTGGAAAATATTTCAAATGGTGATACAAGCAAATTTATTGGCTTAATCTGTTATTTAAACTATTTTGAAAAATTCTGTCCCTGTGATCGGTCAAACTGAACACTATTTCAGGAAAAAATTCAAGATGGCTGCCGTATATGTGTAATTCGATACAAATGACACTCTAGATTCATATATAGAGATAAATATGGTTTAAAATTATATTGATTCAGTAGTAAAGCATGTACATTATATCTAGAAATACAGTTACATTCATTAATAAGCTGAATTTGGGCAAAATGACTTTATATAGGGATTCTATAAGGTTCTATTTTGGGAGCACTCTTATTTTGCAACAACTTTAGTCATTAAACTTGTTTTCTTGAATAATGTTGATATTTCACACATAATTCAATCTAATATTTCAAGTTTACATGAAAACACTGTCTTACAAGTACCAAGGAGACTTTGAAGGAGTCCTGCAAGGTTCTACTACACTCCATTATTATCACAATCTCTTGGAATTCGGTGGAAAATATTCAAAATTGTGATACATGCAAATTTATGGGCTAGTCAGTTATTTATGCAAATAAGAAAAATTCCATCCCTCAAATCAGCCAAACCTAATACTATTTCAGTAAAAAATTTAAGGTTGTCAAAATATGTACATAATTCTGTAAAAATGACACCTTAGATTCATACATAGAGATAATATGGTTAAAAAATAGGTTCACTCAGTACTAAGACATGCAAATATATTTAGAAGTGCTATGATCTTCTTTGGTTTGAATTTTGGCAAAAAGAGTTTTATAGGAGTTCTTCAAGGTTCTATTTTGGCCCTCTCTGTTAGAACTTGAATTACTTTATAACATTCTCTAATACATTTAATATCTAAGACATAATTCAAGAATATATTTCAAGTTTGAATGAGAATATTGTCAACCAAGTATCAATGCAAACATTGAAGTAGTCTTTCAAGGTTCTACCTTAGTCCATTATTATGTCAATCTCTTAATAGTAGATGAAAGAAGGGCAGGTAGACAAGAACTTATCAATTATACAGAATTACATGTGGAATTGCACAATACTGTACATTTAAGTACAGATTTTTTACAAAAGCAACTAAACATGTCTAGAGACTTGCTGGGTTTAGAGACCCGTGTCGAGTTGTCTACAGTGAGGTCAACAGTAAAGGCCATGTGATGTTGCAGCTATAGCACAGCTAATAGCAGAAACAAAGCAACACAAAACCAACTTGCCAATTGTGTGGCTTGATATAACTAAGCCAGCAGTGTACCACACAAATGAACTCAACAGCTTTGAAGCATTATAATGTTCCTCAACATGTGATTGGCCTTGAGATAAGAGTACCTTGAAGGTATTCAGTTGAGATTCTTGACTGAAACAATCACCACTGGTTGGCAGCCTTTAGAGAAGGGAATCATGACAGGCTGCATATTACTATTCATGGCAGCTATGAACATCCTTCTGAAAGGAGCCACAAGGAGAGCAATGAATTTAAAATGAGAAATGGTAACCCTCATCCAACATGCTAGTATCACATTTTCATGGATTGATGGAGTCACTCTAGCAAATGACACTGAAATAGCCATTCTGTGTATCTTCACTGAACTAAAAAACCTAGTAACCTGGGAATCATATCAAATGTTGCAGTCTCGTGGAAGCTCCCTGTCATTTTCTTACAGAACACTAAATGACACAAAACTTACCCAACCAACTAGGCAAGGCAGAACGGCCTAATAGAACATCAAAATATTGACCCAATTGTCACAAGTACTTCAAACTGCCTAAAGAGTCCTAAAGCAACATATGTGATTCAGACAACAGATTGGAAGGTGACTATTTGTAATGACTATAATAATATATTACAATGAGACTCCTTTATTGTCCAAATGACTTGATTGTCATCACATCAGAACAATATGATAGTCCCTTTCCTGGCTGTTAAATTCTTCTGGAGTTACAGCAACAGAGTGGAACAAGGCTCTCTTAGAAATAGGCCAAACAGAAAAATGGTGACTATGGCTGCATTGTGCAGAGCTGGCTGAATAACTGAGTGAGGTTTGATCAACCTGTTTTCCAACCTCTCTGAGTTTGTATGCAGCTTTAGGGGTAGAAGCAGAAAAAAATGGAAATTAAACTGACAAAAAAGACTAAAGCTGCTAATCACAACAAAACTTGTAGGACAATAGTGCCACAAGCAATGATACTCCATTGTTTAAACTCACGTCAAAATTATTTTCTTGCTGGTGTCAAAGTAATGGTGTTGTAGTTGTAAAACATGGTAAATACATTGATAAATCTGCAAAACTCACTTAGTACTCAATGTTCAGTTGTTTTGGCAACTTCAGTTGTTTTGGCAATTTACACAAATTGATTTTGTTGTAAACTAGTGCATTTGTAAGTGTAAAGAATAAGAAGGGTGTCAAAAGTGAACCTTAAACGGCTCCTAGTAATGACTTTTAAAAACTGATTTTGTTGTAAATTAGTGAATGTATATTCCTAATTATAGAACAGTAGTACCAATGATGTTAAATTCATTAAACTAAATAGAGTATCCATTGTACCAATTTGTGAGTATACAAAATAAGAAGGGTGTCAGGAATGAACCTTACTTAACTCCTAATTATTTATTTTGACTTGAGTTCATAACAGTATTATGTGTTATGTGTGTATGTTGTATACTATAGCTCTAAACATAGAGATAAACATGTCTAATCATACTCTGATGAAATCATAGCAACCTCTCTATTTTATGATTACATTACATTATATAGTGATACATGTACTACATAAACATATGATCATACACATAATATGAAATATGTTGTGTCCTATTATATATTATAATATCCAGTTGAAGATGGTCTGAATGTACTTATTTGTTTTCTGTTGATACACGTTTCTAATTTAATCCTACATAATGATAAAATTGACAACAACTTCCTTTTTCCAATTTTATGGGGTAGGGCACTTTCAACGCTTTTTAGAAAATACTTTCAATTTTTCAATAATTGAAATCTTCATATTGTAGTATCAGGCAAAGTTATTAGATGCTTTTTAAATAATAATTAATGTTATTTGTCATTGCATTCTTTATTTGAACCTAGAAAATGAACATTATTTCCTATTTTACGCCAAATCGTCACACTTTGGGGCCATGGGAGGGCTAAAATTCAGTTAAAAAATTTGAGAAAAATTCACATGACTATTTTCACCTTAAAGAACAACATTTCACCATGAGAGCATGAATTTTCCCAAAAATTTTTTTTTGCCCACCCTACATGTTGTTTAAGTCATACTTTGTCGGCCATCTTGGATTTTGGGGAGAAGAAGTGAAATATTCCATCGATCACAGGGACAGATTTTTTGAAAAAGGTTTTAAGAAGCAGAAAAGCCAAAGTTTATACTTGTATCACCATTTGAAATATTCTGCCTAATATAGGGGTAAATTCCCCACACTACATTAGTAACAATCTCGCATTGTACAATACATTTTTATGAAATGCAATTAACTATCCATTCTCAAGATTTTCACTCAATATAGGATATAGTCATATTTGAAGATCATAATGTAAATATTTAAGTACATAACATTATGTTATCAACATGAAGTAGTGACATTATTGCAACCACTGTTTTATGTAACTGGTGCTAGATGCTAGCATCAGAAATCTGTAACAGTATGTTACTATTTGGTAACTGTAACCAGGTGGAGGCATTTTGTAAATATCTTATTTATACCTAGATGTCCACTATTGGTTACATATGAATATAATTACCTCCTCTAACTTTTCATAGTTTTATATCAGAGCTTGTATATGGGCTCACTTTCAAAAATAGATAGTTTGTTAATTAATCACATACTAAACCTCTTTATTTTTCCAATTTCAGACAGTTAGTGTGAGTCTATCTAGAGATGAGAGTGGATTAGGGTTTAGCATAGCAGGGGGTAGGGGAAGCGTGCCTTTTAGACCTGGCTCTACGGATGATGTAAGTAATCTACAAGTAGTATATAAAATTACCATAGCTCCTGATTTTTAAAGGTTTGAGCAAAATTCAGCAATTTTAACATCTATCATGCACTAATATTATATATGAAATTGGGTTAAACAGTAATGCTTGTGTTGTATCATAACAGATTTTGTGTGTATATACAGTTTCTTTCGATGATTGCATTCATAATACAGTATAAGTACTTCTAATGATAATCTTAAATGGAGTGATAAATTATTAACAGAATCTTTTGTTTCCTCGTTCACAGCAGCAATACTCATTTCTAGAGGTAATGTAATAACTGTTAACTTTGCTTGGTGTGATATACTTTTATCTTTATTTTTTCCTTTTTCTGAGGGTGACTGTCTCTTAAGGTGTCATAAATCATGATTTGTGGAATTAAGTTCTCGTAGATTTCAGAAACCATTATTTACGATTTTCTAGGAACAGTCCTCTAAAGATTTTCTATTTCTCGGATATATATGATGAATATCTCTTTTATCTTATTGATATCATCTATTATGGGAGTTCTGTACACCACTTTGCCCATTTACTCGGTTATTATTTTTACAGAGTACTCTAACCATATTGACATACTAATTCATAGTCTAATTTTTCTCAGTTTGGTAGACATGGACTTTTATTTTTTATCTTTATCTTTTTATCTTAAATACAATGTAAATAGGTGTTGTTCTTTCTTTCTTATCCATATTTCATTTTGAAATAGTTTTATTTTCTATTAATTTAAAGAATTGATACTAATTTGATGACATTATTAATGGCCTAGTCACATAGCCCGGCCGATGAGGTTACGATGAGCCAGCGATGCAATTTTCACCTTACTCGGCCGAACACCGGCCGGACATCCGTGGCGTTTGTTGCTTAAAACCGCATCGGTGGTAGCTCGGTGAAATTTTAACTTCGGAGTTAAATTTCACCGGGCTCTCACCGAGCTCCTTCATCATGTCATCGCAGGCCCATCGTAACCACATCGGAAAACACGTCGGCCAGTGCACGGCCGAGTATCGGCCAGTGTCCCGTGCATCTGAGACAACCAGAGGACGAGGTTTTTTAACGGACAGCGGCCGAGCTCCGACCGAGCTCCGGCTGATGTGGGACAGAGCATCGGCCGGTCACTGTTCAGAGCCCATTAACAACCCGGCCGGCGATCGCACGGTGTCCTGTTACCTGCTCGGGTACCGGCCGTATTCCTTCCGATGTCCGGCCGACCTCCGGCCGGTAGTTGCTGCCACATCGGCAGAAAAAAACTACCTTTTTGAGACAGACTCCGTACGGTCACCGGCTGGTGTTCAGTCGGTTGCCTGAAGATGTCCGGACGGAGTCCGTTCACGTCACCGAGCTCTGCTTCCGATGAGGAGAGCTCGGTGGCACCAAAAAAATCCACGGACATCGGCCGGGCTATGTGACTAGGCCATAACTCCTGGCATTTGCCATACTGTATTTGCCCCTGGGGCAATCTGGTGTTATTCCCTCATACATCGGAGTCATTCTTAATGGAATTATTCTTGTGCATACCTTTTACTTTACATAAACACTCTTCATTGATTTATTACCCTTTTCCAGAAACTATTAGCAATATTTCATAGAATCTGCAATTAACTTCGCTAAAATGATATACGCTCGTACTTTAGTAATTATATTATGAATACTTTCTGTATGAGCTTTCCCTCGGGTGGTGATTAACTTGTTTCTTTGGTTTGCTTTCAGGCAATTTACATATCACGTGTGACTGAAGGGGGTGTGGCTGAGAGATGTGGCCAGTTGCAAGTGGGGGATAGGATTTTATCAGTAAGATTATTGAGTAGTAATATAGCTTATGACTTATTGATATCTGATTCCTAAACAGATTGATGTTGTTTAATCTAAAACATACAGATAATACTCTATTGGAAAGCAAAATAGCTTCTCCTATATTTTACATGCATACGGTAAAACCTTAAAAGTCTTAATTTGAACACCATTTGGACTGTCCAAAAAGATCAGATTAGCAGATGTCCACATTGCATAGTTCCATCATATTGGAGTCAATATGATAACAAAATTGGGACCTTGAAAATAATGCTCTCATAGATAGATGCTCACATTTTTAAGGCGTTTGGATGTACATGTTATACTCTGAACATTTTATTGCAATTGCATTATGAAGCATAAGCAGAAATGCAAACATTTAGTAAAGGAAATATATATTTCAGATCAACAATGTAGATATGACAGATGCCCGACATGACCAAGCAGTTGCTCTCCTTACAAGTTCGGCTAATGATGTCCATTTAGTGGTCTATAGGGAGCAGTTAGTTGTCAAACAACCTGAACTCAATTCTAGTGAAAAACAAACAAGAACTGCTCCGCCAGTAGTTGAACATATAGAACAACCTGTAAAGGAACACATTAGTGAAGTTAAACCAATACTAACTGCTCCCCCAGTAGTGACCAAAGCAGACAATAGGCCCTCTAGTGAGGCCTCAGATTCAGGAGAAATAAAAACGAACACTGGCAGTTTTAGTTATAAGCCAAGATTTGTGCCGCCCACTAGGATTACTACAAATGAAACAAATGACTCTGAAGTGAATAGTTCAGGTATTGCTCAAGCAAAGACAATTACCACGACAACCAAGCAGGTTGTCACAACAACAAAGCCAGTTGTCAAGACAACGGTTCAATCCCCATCCCCTTCTTCCCCCAATGAACCCAAAGTGCCAGAGAAACCAAGTCCATATGCACAGGAAGTAAGAACCCATTTATCTTAAATTCAAAAATCATATTCACTCCTTTTCTTTTATGTTCTTTCTTCATGTTCTTCTTGTCAAGAAATCAAACAACTTTCCTTTTGCAGTATTTGCAGTTATTTACTTGGAAAAATTAGGAGGAGTGCATATTTAATTATAATTCTGTTCATATATTTATTTTCAATACTCATTGTCTTAACAAGTAAACATTTATTTTTGACCTGCGATAAGGTATGTAATAAAAATGTCATGATTAAGACTACATTTTGATCAATATACATGATTCCTGATGTTGTCATTCCAGCTAATAACAGTAATTAAAGCAGGAGGTCCCCTTGGCCTGAGTATTGTTGGGGGCAATGACCAATCTAGTCAGCCATTTGGTAACAAAGATGATGAGTCTGGGATATTTGTTTCTAAGATTGTACCATTTGGTGCAGCCTCAAAAGTAAATCTGCAGGTTGGGGATCGTGTGTTGAAGGTGAATGAGAAAGATGTCACTAATGCTAGCCATCAAGAGGCTGTCATGGCTCTTATATCCCCAACATATGACATCAAGCTGTTGGTCAGACACGACCCTCCTCCCAAAGGGCTTACTGTAAGTATTTAGCAAACCTTAAATGTGAAAACTCTAGTGTCAAGAGACATATGTTTAACATATGGTCCAATGGTCAGTCTAAGTTTCCTTGAGCTTATATTAACTGTTGGACGCGTTTGTTTTAAAAGTTAATATCACACTCCACTATAAAAAATCTTAAAAGGAGATTAGTATAACACATTGCAAAATTCTAGAATTACATTCAATTCTCATGAATTGAAAAAACACAGAAAATCGTAATGTCATACTTTGATCCCAATACTTTTTAATCATATTTTGCAATTACCCTGTTATCATAATGTCTCTGCTATTCCAGGAGTTGAACATCCCCAAGGGTAATGGTGAAAAATTGGGTATGAGTATAAAGGGAGGACTTCATAGTCAACCTGGCAACCCTGCTAACAAGGCTGATGAAGGAATATTTGTCTCAAAGGTAAGACATTGGAAAGACAAGATATGCGTCGAATGTATTAAGTATGCTTCAGGTAGGAAATCAACAATCATGTATGTAACGTTTTACAGGAATATGTATATTTAATGTTTATAAACATAACTACATTTACCAGAGCAAGTATGCCAAATATTACAGATTGTGGGTCACAAAGAAAACTTAGGGACGTCAATTGAAAGCATAAGTAAGGTTTAGCGAATGATTTATTGTTAAATGTTGGATTATATATTCTTATTTGATCACCAGTATTTAGCTCTGCATTCATTTTAGATCCAGCCAGGTGGCGCTGTAAGTAAAGATGGCCGTATGGTGGTTGGACAGAGGATCCTGGAGGTTAATGGCACCAGTCTGATAGGTGCCAGCCACCAGGAGGCAGTGCGAGCACTCCGTAGTGTAGGTGACGTCTTAACAATCATGGTGTGTGACGGCTTTGACCCTAGCCATCACAATATGGTGTCCCCCACGGGGACTGGGCCTAGCTTGAACTCTCAGGGACGATTCGACTCCATCAGTAGTATAGATAGAGATGATGCAGACTTCGATATTGTCAAACAGGTAAATTTATGTCATGAACAAAAAATATTGGGTTGACTAATTATAGGTTTAATGTAAAACTGAAAATTAGTAGACTTCGACAATATCTATTTGTATACAGGTAACATGTATACATTTTATGAGGGGCCGAGATTGAATCCTTTAAATGAAAAGATGACTCCCTCATTTTTTGGGGCTATCTATGTGCTAGACTTGATATAGACAATTTTAAATGGCTTTTCAGTGGTGAGGGTTATTAAATGATTAATTTGTACAGGTGTGCAATATGCATTGGCAATGCATTACTATGAGATTGAATCACCTGCGAATTGTGTCCTAAATGGGATGAGTATAGCAAATACAGACTGTGTTATACTACAAGTCTGTACGTAGGTGGCTCTGTTATGCCACAAGGGTTGCTTGATGGTTGTGGATTTATATATTTCTTAAATAGTATGTTGTGCATGAAGAGTTTATTGTAATATTACTATCTGTTGTTGGTAAATTTCACAAAAATTGGCTTAAGGTAGGCCTAATGGGGCACTTTGTGTGGAGTCCTATATGGAAAATACCACCTTGATTTAGTCCCCCTATTATTTTTGGCCTACCTTAAGTTTTTTGCACACAATCACATTGCTTGGGCTAAGTGTTGTTGGTGTACATGATTTGTGGAGAATTAATGTTGTATCTTAGGAGCAAGAAACCCTACAGGAAGCTGCTATGTGGGAACAGGAAGATTTGGCAAAGATTGAACAAATGAGGAGGGAGCAAGAACGACAAACTCAACAGCTGACTAAAGAGAATAGTGTTCAGAGTCTCAACAGTATCGCCAGTCTTAACAGTCTGGATGATATTCCTTTCGCTGATAGCATCCCAGTAAGTCCAACCAGCTTGGCTCGCATAACATGTGTCACGTGATATGACATATGCTGTTAAGTAACTGGTGACAACATTATCACATGACTTGTGTCACTCAATTTGTGTCGCATCAAGGTTTTCTACATGAAAAGTAGAAGTGAACCATGTATTTCTGTCTTCAGATCCTTGCATTAGGCCTTACATGTTTGTATTCATAATTTTATGCTTTGAGTGATATTTGAAATTAATTTAGAGTTGTTATTGTGTTACATTTGTAGTTGTATTATGTTTACAATGTGTGCCTAACTCTATTTTTATTTTGCTGTAAAATGTTGAATATGTCGAGTTCCTCTTCTTTTAAAAGTAGATAGCGGATGTGTTCATGTTAATCAAAATAAAATATGAATGAGAAAACCAAAATTCAATGCATTTCAAATTTTAATTTTCCAAAATGCGTAATGCTTGACATAGATCAATTCACATTGATTCACTTTGATTTTTGCCATTCATCATTTTGGCATGATCGCTATCTGATTTCACCCGCAAGAAAAATGAGTTTTTCTCTGAAGGCTAAATCTTGAATAGGATTTGAAGTGGTTTGGTGAATAATCACTAATTAATGTGGTGTTGGTGTGCTTCTCTAGTGTTATTAATGTTTAATTTCCTTTACAGATTCATTACTTTATTTCCTTTGTACTTAACCTCTATACAATATCTTAAAACTTATGTCATTTTAACTTATGTCACTTTAGCTCTTTAGTGCTTCTAGCTTATGATATAGCATTATAATACATCTCTGTATATTTATCGATGTAGTATATTTCTGTTGTTATTGTAATAAGGGGCTGGGTTTTAGACGCTTTTATTCCTGTAGTTTGCTGACGAAGATGAAGATTTGATTCTTCAAGCAATCGAGGTCGAAATGGAAAAATTGCGACTGCAAAAAATCCGCCAACGTCAAGGCACGCCACCAAGGAGGGTCCGTAAATCCCAGGAGTGGAAGCCCACTTTTGTATATCCCATAGTTCTTAAGGTGATGGTCAGCATGCCTTCGTAAAATCCATATATGGTGTTTTTCCAAATATGGTATTTCTGCCCATTTACATGTATGCTGGCATGTAGGCTGAACAGAGCAATAGATATTAATGTTAAGCTGTAGTTCTGTGTTATATGTTGCATATAAACATGTTGCATGTTAATGCTTGCAATAATAGATGTCATATTTGCATATTTTAGGTGAAGTGGTCTATATGATATGAAGATTTGATTTTAGTGAAACATTTTAGTGATGTAGGTCTAAGAAAACTAGGTTTAGATTCGCTTAGAGGCTAACCAAGCTTATATTAGAACAAGTCAGTCACGTTTGCTGGATATAGTTGTTTCTAGTTAATGGACATGTGTCTTGTTGCTCCAGACCTGTTCTTAGGTTTCAGATAATCTATATAATAATGCTACTATATCCAGCATACAATATTATAGCTAAGTTAACATAACAGTTAAGTACAGTACATTGTAGGCAATATGTTCTGCTTAAAGACTAACAGCACAAATTAGGAAAATACTAAATAGGCTTTTAAAAGTTAGTATATCATGAACACTGTAAATACATTTATATTAACACTATACATATACAGTTGCATATTACAACTCATTGCATATTTCAAGTCTGGAGAAACATCTCCAGGTGAATGCATGGAATGCAAATAATTATAATTTTGACAAACTTTTAATTCCCAATATTTATTTTAAGTTATTTTATTAATCTTCTACATGAAATTACTAACAATATTTGCAAATTATGTTTTGATCTTTTATTTTGTTTGCGCATGGACTGATTCCAACAACTAACATTATATCAAGTTTTTGTTATTATTATAGAATTAAATCATGCATTACAATTACAATTTTCTAACCTCATTTTTTACTTCTTGAAAATATTTTATTATTTTATAAAGATCATAATGTAAATTCAAAATTCATATTTTAAAAAGTGAGCTGCTTATTTAACCTAATTATGGAAAGACTCCTTGTCAAGCTGTTATGAATCTCCATCCATACTGATATGTATGTTAAAATATAAACACGTTTCTCTGCCAACTGGCTAATACACAGAACATCATAAATATAAATTACCCAAAATACTTCATAGGAATCAGTAGGAAAGAAACTTTTTATTATTTTATTATTATGTATGTGTTAGGCCACCATGTGTTAATTGTGTGTTTAGCCATATCTTAAGGGGAATTAACTGAGTAGACAGGCTCTGCTAAACAGACATTTAATTCTTGTATAAGGCCATACTCTGACAGAGCTGTAAAACTGATATGATATTATATTGTACTTACAGAAGGACCCTTCAGCCCCAGCAGCTCCTACCCCCCAGCCTGCAAAACAGCCCCCACCAGTCGCACATAAGCCAGCGCCCCCTGTTGCACAGAAGCCATCCAAAATACCCAAGGTAAGACAATAATATTATCAATGCCCCCACTGTTGCCCATTTTAAAATTACAGTAATTGAAAGGGGCAATTTTATTGTAATGGGCCCCATATAGCATGATCCTAGTTACTCATATAGCTTTAATTACTGACTTACATTTTCTGCTTTTGGTAGTATTTTTTTTACCCCTGTTTTATTTACAGTTTAGTTATGGTCCCAATTTATTTTTTAATTGTTAAATGTCTCCCATATTGTATTAGAAAATAGGAACAACCCCTGTGATTCGCTTCTATGTAAGTATTGCTATTCAGATACAGCAGGGTGTCAGGAAATGGTACTAATGAGAATTGGTACTTATGTTAATTTGGTACTAATGAGAAATAAGGTTATGGTACTAATGTTGTGATTTGTAATGGATAAGGTATTAAATGGTACATAAATAGTGTAGGATGCCTTTACATTTCTGTATGTATAGTCTGGAATGGTATTCTACAAAAACTAGTTTTTCTGCATGTGCTTATAAATGTATAACAAGTGGAATGTGGGATTTGTTAAGGATTGATGAAAATGAGGGCTTGAAATTAATCTATGTTGTCAATGTATGTATATGTACTTTGCCTTAAAGTGGTTATGTCAATGCATGTACATTGGCTTAAAGTGGTTATGGGACAATCTCACAAGGGCAAACATCTCTTACATTGTCCTTCACGTCACTAACAATTATTATCACATTCATGTTGAGATTCAGAGTAATGGTAATGGGGGTTACACTGATCTAAGTAGGTCTATTTCAGATTGATATGCATCATCATTCTTGATTAACAAGTTGTCATCAAATATGCCATGCATAATACTTACCATAATGCTTTACAAATTAGAAACTAAGTATCTCTCGGTTTATTGAAATAAATTGATGTTGTCATCGAGTTCCATAACTAATGATCTGGTGATTGTAAAATGACTGCTACTTTATACCCTAAGAGCGGGTTTTATATCACACATTTGTCTCAATAATCAGTTTCCTTAATTGATTTCTAGCTATAGACTGTAAGCCATTCTGTAGAAGCGCTCTAGAAATGCAACCTTCCTTACATGAAAGGTTACACATTCCAACCTATTTCAAACCATCTGTATGATTATACTGGACACTTTCTGGGTAGTTGGACTTTCTATAGGGGTGGCAGACGGCCCTCAGACCAATTAATACCCCTACCCCCAAAAAACCATGGGGGTACTTTAATACCACCCAATAAAAAGAATACTAATGCATGTCAGATATTCATTGTTTTATATTGGGTAGGGCATGTTATGGTTAATAAGTGCCAGAAATTTCCAATCTCTAACTTATATGGTTACCATAGAAACAGTATTTATATCTCGAAATATTCTCAATTTGACCCCCTCCCAAATGTGTCCCTTTGTTCTCTAAGTGAAATATTTCAAAATCTGTTTGGATTTTATGGCTGCTACTTTGTCAAAATTTGTAATATTATGTCTATATTAACACTAAAACACTTAAAAGTTGATATAATGATCCTATAAATCAATAATATTTATCAAATATAGTCACACATAGCTGCTTTCAGGGAAAAGTGGGCGTGGCACTTTTTGGTACTTGTGCGCTTGTTGCAGCATTAAATGAAAAATGCAGATTACCCTAACAATAATTGACATTTAATTAGCATCTACTAATGTTGTGTAACATTGTAATATGTTCATTATCATTATTAGACACTTTAAATATTTTATATAAGTGTTATCCTGACCCTTCCCTATCATAGGTCATCAATGGTCAAATGAACTTTTAGTTTAAGTCTTATAGGGTCCTCGGTCTTTTAAGCCTTTCAAGAGTCAAGTCTTACTTATTCATTGACTTGTTCCTAGAATATGAATGGATAAGTTCAAGTCATCTAGAGCTATTCAAGTCATCTATGCTTGTTCAACAATGTTCAATATTAAGAACCATTTTACCATGTTTACTGCAATTGAAAAGTAATGAACAGTTCAATCCTTTTGGTATGATATTTGATGCTAGTGTGAATTGCATAACATTTATGATTAAATGAACTAATTTAACTCTGGCTATTAACCCTTCCCTGGTATCCTTCACATAACCTCTAAAACATCTTCATATCCATGGCCTAAATGGGGAAGGAGGGAGGGGTTACAAATAGTGACCGAGGATAATTTGAATCAAAGCAACAAGACATAATACTCAAAACTAGAAAGATTGGAGACCATTTATACCCTTCCTAATATTTTGCCTAATACACAACACTAAAATCTATTTTGTCAGACACTTGCTGATTCTTTTATCAATACCTCAACATCAGGCAATGCATGATCTATCTATCAAATGGATTAAAGATTATACTTGATTCTAATATGGCAAAATTAATTTTTCGTATGAATTGCATAGAGCATCATTTTGCAGTTATAATAAAATGCATTCATTCATTCATTGGCTCATAGTTAACAAAAAAGCTATCCTCTGGAAGGTACAGTATAATTTCTATTAGTATTTAGCAAAATAATTGCAAGATAAACAATTTACACATGTTTCTGATATGCTGTATTTTCAATGATTCCTTCAATAGTGGTTCGGTATATGTTTTTGAAATACTTCATATAATTCCTAAACAAATCGGTTTAGTGTATGAAATCAAAGTGGATACATTTGTCCCATACTTGGATATGTTTCAGATACATATAGCAGGTTTATAAATACTTATATTTTCATCAGCGGGCAGATATAGCTAATGTCCCTGCCTGAGAGGGCAGATAAATTACACCTGCCCACTAAGTCATAATCATCATTTGTGTATGATTAGCAATGAAGGAAGTAGCATACTTAATACATATGTTAATAATCAATGATTCGAGAATATGTGGATGAATACTTAAAAAACAGGAGAATCCTCCTAAGGCCAAGAAAACAAAATTAGTCATGAATACATTCATGTGGTTGTATTCTTTCTAACTCTGGCCAATTGAACAATGTGAACCAGATAAGAGAGATTGATATGGGATAAACAGATAATCCTATAGTCAGTTCATGCTATTAGGATTATCCCTTGGCAAATATAATATATCTTCCCTCAGGACCTAAGGCCTTTGGCCAATAGAAAATATCTTCCCTCGGGACCTACGACCCTCGACCAGATATATTATATTGGCCTCGGGATAATTCCAATACCCCGAACCTCATAGAGGATAATCTCTATTTGTCTTCATCAATTATTATTATACATATAAATCGGGATATAAATATAACCTAAAGTAAGAAATCACATTCTCTAACCAGTAATATTTAATTTTAAAATTGGTGACCATGATTTATTTGAGAATAAAACAGACGAAACAAAGGCTAACAAAAATCTTTAAAAATTTGGGTAAAACATAAATATTTTAAAATTGCTTGTTTTTCATCATTATTACTTCGATCTCCAAACCCCAAAAATTGAGTGTTACAAATTGTTTCAAGTTAAAGTATGCCTAATTTCATGAGCAAATTAGTAATCTTGTTGGATATTTTTTCCTCGACAATGCCTTATCTAATTCATCTATATACAAACTACTAGATTCCAAATGCTATTTTACAGGATGGGTGTTCATGAAAGTAACACTAAACATCAATTTTGTCATAAACTGAACAATGCAGCTAATTGATTCTCCCATCTAAGCAACAGAGCCTCTTTTAATATATTGTAATTTCAAAATTGCCTCTAATGAAGTTCTTCAATCAAATCTAAAATGGATACAACTGGTAATATCTTTATACCATATGAGTAGAATGTTTGTTTCTTTCAAATTCATGCTTTCGTTAGAAACATGGATATCACTAATTCATGGTTTTGATTCATATTTAAAATAGTGTGAATTATATATGAGGTTTAATTAATGGGAAATTTTTAATACAGGGATTAATACAATATATCTGAGGGAAATACAATATACCTCCAAGAGGGGTTGAGGGTAGAATATTCTCCCATCTAAGCAACAGAGCCTCTTTTAATATATTGTAATTTCAAAATTGCCTCTAATGAAGTTCTTCAATCAAATCTAAAATGGATACAACTGGTAATATCTTTATACCATATGAGTAGAATGTTTGTTTCTTTCAAATTCATGCTTTCGTTAGAAACATGGATATCACTAATTCATGGTTTTGATTCATATTTAAAATAGTGTGAATTATATATGAGGTTTAATTAATGGGAAATTTTTAATACAGGGATTAATACAATATATCTGAGGGAAATACAATATACCTCCAAGAGGGGTTGAGGGTAGAATATTGTATTTCCCAAGGGTTATATCTTGTACCCAAAATTATTTATCATATACTAATATACGAAAATATGAGAAATTGCACAGAATGAAATTCCTGCAGGGGATTACTGAGCAGACGATAAACCTGGCGATACATAGAGATTATCCTATATGAGGTTCAGGATATTGGAACTATCCCGAAAGGGCGATTATGACGGAGGGGGCAGATATACTATATCTGCCTGCTCGCAACAGAATGTAAAGCTATATCTGCCCGCTGATGAAAATATAAGTTTTTAAAAACCTGCTTTATGTACCTGAAACACGACCAAGTATGGGATAAAGCGGGATATGCAGTACATGTATATCCCCACTCACCTAAGTATCAATTATATTCATGCATTTTATTTACCTATAACACTAAGTATAGGATAAATAACTTTTACTGACAAATTATATAAGTGCATGATTACATTAGTCACAACTACTCTCTAAAAGGTTAACTTATTGCATGAAGAAATGTAATTCTTCATGAAGATTTCAAATATGATATCACTTATTTGACTGAATTTTGAATTTTTTATGATGTAAAGCAAGATCATTTCTACTTGCATCTAAGTCTATTTCATTGTATAAGTCAACAATTAATAAGGCAAATACATATCACTGGCTTCCCTGATTCATTTAGATTCCTTGCACTTTTAAAATCATCAATAATTCATATAGGGTTGAACTATTGAATAATGAAA